ATCATGATCAAGTTTTTGACCATTTCGAATCTTAACTTAATATCGTATCAATTTTTCATCGCTAAATCTTATTTATTATTCGTAAACTGGTTATTGAAATTTTATAGCTTTTTTTAATAAAAAGCATAATGACCTCAAATATGTAATCTCACACGTATCGTGACAATTGATTTGCGTAAACAATTTCTAATACGACACAAGCATATCCTATTTAATTACAATAACATATATGTATAATGCTTGGTATTATCGTTAGAAAGTAGCAATCAAGTCATTTGTGCTAACATTTTTTGGTAGGCAATGCTGTCGGTTCAAAATTATCAGAAGTGTACGGAAATACTTTCACTGGGCAACATGTCATGTTGCATGCGTACAAATGCCTTCAATTTAACACGAAATTCTCGTCACATTTACAAATCTAACCAAGGTATTTCAACCAATTTTAGTTATTCTACTTGTATGGATAACTTTTATATTCATGATGGCCGCAGTGACGGACGGCTTCTAAAAATTGTGAACGAGGAGTACTCACTCATTGGTCCAAATGCTGTACGTTGTTTTTCAGTTCTCAATTTTGGTCCGACTTATAAGAGCAGGAGCTGTGCGTTGTTATAAAGCTCTTCAGATTAGACTGAACTTGTGAGTGAAAGAGCTGCATGTTATTATTCAGCCTTTCTGATTGGACTGAATTTGTGAGTGAAAGAGCTGCTTGTTATTATTCAGCACTTCAGCTTAGACTGAATCATGAATTGAATATCCCTATGCTGTTACTTAGGTCTGCAGCTAAGTCTGACTAATTAATACCCGAGCTGTAAGCTGTTATTCTGCTTAGACTGACTAATGAGTACAGGAATAGTGTGTTTTTTTCAGATCTGAAGGCTTGATTCATGACTTTTTTATTTTATTTATTTTATTTTGAGTACGTTTCATAATTGCTTGTTCAGAGCAAAGCTCCTTTGGCTACATTTAATTATCCAAGTTGCATGCAGGTCTAGTTTAGTCTCCAGACAGCAATTTTTGTTACCTAACCAGTAAATAATGAATTTACTGTATCGACACTAACTGAACCAGTCGATTATCAAAGTAAGCAAGTTACTAAATTAATTTTATTTGAATCGATTCCCAGTGAGTTTTCATTTAACAACGACTATGTCTTTCTGGAAAGATTCAATTTATATTTTTGCAGGAGATGCAATTTTCATGCTCAATCATAACCCTGGCCCACGATGGTTTTTTTTGTGTTTATGGAGGGCAAACTCAACAGTTTTATTTACGGTCATCTCATGGTACCAAGCAGTTCCGTAATCCGCAAGCTGGACTTGTTCCGCATTTTATTGAAGCAGCGCAAAGAATAAGCTCAGCATGAGAACATTTAACCCTGGTCGAAATAACCGATGAATTATAGAAGGCTTCTGGGAGAACGACGACCGGCCGACGCTGTTTCGGCTCTACTTTTCACTATATAAACGCTCCGGACAACAGGGCAGTAAATAGAACGAGGTTTTGAGCAGTTTTCCATCGTACCTGGGAACGAAACAGTTTTGCCACAAAAAATGTTTGGTATTATTTCCGTACGAGACAAGGGAATGACTGTCGCTATGCATTGTTTTCACGGAAATGGAATTTTTGGACAAGGTTTACTCAATTCGGCGAGCATTTTGCGGACCGCACCATGCCTGACCAACCAGCAATTTCCGATTTTCTAGAACGCATTGTCGCGACGGAGGAATAGGAGTTCGTGATGACAGATGCCGGTTCATATGTGCCCCCAAAACAATGGCCACGTTGAACGTGCAAACATAAAAATGAAAGTTTTCGGTTGAAGAATAGCGAAAAATCTCGCGTTTGATACGTTGAATTTGCGTTTTCACAATTTTAGTTGCTCATGCATTTACTCGATCTCAGTTTAAAAAAATTTATATAAATTTCATGGAGTAGTGTGTCAAAACATTAATACATATTAAATTGATGAATTTTGTATCATGAACAACTGATGTACGCTGCAAGAAAGGATAATCATGAACGGAAGGCTACAATTACAACGTTTATATAAATATTATCAATTTATTTACTTTTAAGCTGGTTGTTCTGCTTATCAAATAATCTCTCGTAGATCATGAAAACATTACACGCATGATAATTTTCCTCGTTCTGGTTCTTTGAGCGTAAGACTTGAAAAAAAAAAACCCTGAGGCGAAGAAAACTACTGAAATTTGCGGATGAAAATTGCACTATAACAGATGTAAATTACCCCAGATCAGTGGTTATTTACGAGAGGGAAGTAATAGAACTCGTGCAACAACACGCGTCATAATGGCCATGTCCGAGCATACCTCAGCTTAGTTGCGCCAATTTGCCCAGCAATTCTTTTGTGTTACTTTATTGGGATTATTCTTTGGTTGCCCCAGGAGAAATTTTAGCAATAATTGGTCATCTCTTTAGTAAGAGATAAGCATGACCTAGGCTTATAGAAAAACATGGTCAAAGATAAAATTGAATTTAATCTTTGTTTGTTAAATTGTTTTTATTTTGATTCCATTAACAATATCGTCAATAGATTACCTCCTATGTACAAAAAGATATATAAAGCCGGAATAATTTTTGCGAAGAGAAGGAAATAAATAAAGGCAACCTTGACCTTTACACAACCTATCGCACGACCGGAAGTTACAAGTATCTTGAAATATGTGCAATAATCTAGTAAATATAATTTAGACTTAGCCCATTCAACATGACGTCTGTTCATGCAATCTTCATGAACTGCATGCGCAATATAAGCAATAATTCGCTACAGTTATCATGTACAAAAATCTACTGCACATTCGACAAAACTATATATTTCCGACGCACTTTGCACAAGTTAATCAACAATTCAACGCCGTTTTCATGTAGAGTATTTCTGGACAATCATCGTATGTAGTAACTGATCAGTGTGTCTGTGTTGATTTACAATTCAACTTAGTTGCCATGCCAAGAATTTACCGCACAATCAACATATAAAGATTGTGCACTGTGTGGCTATACGTTATTCAACATGTCAACATAGTTTTCATGTTGCCATGTTGTCAGCATAGCTGCTATGTTGAAATGCCACACAATCAACATAAAGTAAGTGTTCACTATGTACACGTTATTCAATATTTCAACATAGTTGGCATGTTGCCAACATGTGAACATAGTTGCCATGTTGAAATGTCAGGCCAAGTTGCCATGTTGAAATGTCATGCCATGTTGCCAACATGTCAACATAGTTGCTATGTTGAAAAGCCGCACAATCAACTTAAAGTAAGTGCTCACTATGTACACGTTATTCAACATGTCAACATACTTGCCATGTTGAAATGTCATACCATGTTGCCAACATGTCAGTAAAGTTGCTATGCTGCCAAAATTTCAACAAAGTTGTCATGTTGAAATGTCATGCTATATTGCCAACATGTCAACATAGTTGCCATGTTGAAATGTCATGCCATGTTAGAATGTCGTGCCATGTTGCCAACATGTCAACATAGTTGCCATGTTGAAATGCCGCACAATCAACATAAAGGAAGTGCTCATTGTGTTTACGTTATTCAACATTTCAACATAGATTCCATGTTGCCAACATGTCAACATAGTTGCCATGTTGAATGCCGCACAATCAACATAAAGGAAGTACTCACTGTGCTCACGTTATTCAACATTTCAACATAGATTCCATGTTGCCAACCAACATGTCAACAAAGTTGCCATGTTGAATGCCGCACAATCAACATAAAGGAAGTACTCACTGTGTTCACGTTATTCAACATTTCAACATAGATTCCATGTTGCCAACATGTCAACATAGTTGCCATGTTGAATGCCGCACAATCAACATAAAGTAAGTGCGCACTCAACACTATCAACGCGAACCATGCTATCAGTTTAGGCCTAACAGGGCCGGATTTTTCCGGTAACCTGAGACTAGTTTAGGACAAGTGAGAGGCACCGTGCTAGCTCCAGACTAGTCGAGGAGATCGTCGTGTACGAATCCTGCTGCTGTGCTCTCCTCCGTGCAGGCGTGCTGGGTGTTTGCTGCTTTTATTGAAGAATAAATCAGTTTTACGACATAATTTTTCTGTACTAAGCATCTAAACAAACGGTTTTTGAATAGAAAAATTATTTATATTAGTTTAATATGAACAAAATGGCATGAAACTGCGTTCGTTTCTGGCCTTTAACATGCGTGCAACGTAGAGCGTTGTTGCAAGCGCTGTAGTGGAATACGAGACGATTGAAAAAAAAACGAGAGAAATTATCTCGAGACGTGAGCTTTTGCGTTGAAAACTGAAATGCTGCACAGGCTGCTCTAAAACGATTATTGATCTTGAAAAGCGAAAATTGTTGAAATTCCTCTACATTGATTAGACTTCTACACGCTCACACGCTTAGAGTTGCGCGTTTGCCTTATGCGCTCTGAACACATCCCGTTAATTTTATTTCTTGGGTAACTGAACAGATTTTAAAGAGAATAAATAATCTCAAAATTTGTTTGATTAATTGGCGGACGAAACATTATTCCGGCGAGTGAAAGGACTTACAAATGAGACCGAAAAAAATACTACAAAAATAATTAAATGCTTCTAAATGCTCGTAATTATGGACCTCTTTGTAATAATCGGAAGTGACGGAAACGTGGATTACCGTTTCATTTTCCGAGCCTGAAATTGTTCTTATTTTGATTCCATTAACTGCTCTGTGTTCATTGTTTCCACACAGACCAATGCGTTTCTGAGCAAGCGAACTAAGAACTAAGCGAAATAAATAAGATTATGTATATTTTCAAATATGTAGCCCGGGTATTACAGCTATACAGCTAGAAGAAGTTATTGCTCAAACAATTCACGTGTCCCAGTATGTTCGAACCTGCGGTTAACTTTTTTGCCCTAAATATTCTATTTAAGAAGTTTTTCGGGCATTCGTCTTTCGAAAAAAATGCGCTGGCATATAACAGTATTAAGTGCATGTAAGGTCAATTTGTCAGCAGCTTCATTATTCAAGTCTGACCGAGTCGGTAATTTGTATGCTTGAAGCCACTGACGGAAGTAGAATATCGCACGTTTTTAGCCCCAGCTGTTCGCACCCATTCATTGAAATACCATATCTTCGTTGCATCAGAATCTTGAAAGTTTTTAGAGCCAATAATAATGAGACTAGTACGGAATACGCGTTGTGATTGGCCCAGCGCAGCACAGCTCATGAACACTACTAAAGCATGTTTTCGCAATAGTTTCGAGTCAACTTCAGGGAAACGCTTCAAATTAATTATTAAATGACATGTCAGCAGTTCTTAAGCACATCAAATATTCTCGGGTTTGCAATTGCTTACTCTAAAAACAATAGTTGCTGCTAAGAAAGAGTATGAAAAGCATTTCTGTCTGGCATCATAAGTTGCCAGATATTCCCAGACTAACACACCGTTGGAGTCAGGTGCAGCTGATCTGCCCTCAAGTGAGCGTGAGATGGATCGGCTCTTCTCTAAATTTTAATTTGTGTCGTCACTGTCGTGAATATTGCGGACGAAAAACAAAAATGTATATTCATCCACTATAATAATAATTTACCGTGATATTGGCTTACTGTGATTACGGTGTCTGATGTCTTTGAAACCGTATTCTTTCCCACCGTTTGACATTTTGTTCTTCTCTGAGCACGGCTTGGAAGCATTATTTACCCATCATGGAAAACACAAGCTTGTGGGTTTTCGGTTACGGATCCCTATGCTGGCATCCGGGATTTGATTATAAAAATTCAAGAGTTGGTCACATCAAACATTATGTGAGACGATTCTGGCAAGGCAACACCACGCATCGAGGAGTTCCTGGCAAGGTAACGTTGTCTCCTGATAAATTTCCGAATGTTGTTTATTCAATCATTGCTTTAAATCATTATTTATTCTTTCCTTGATGCTACAAGTTAAAGTGCTATAGTAGGCTAGTAGCTAGTTCATTTCAAATATAACACGCTTGTCTGCGTTGACCTTTAAACTAAGTAGTAGGAAACTTGGAAGGGAATCAACGAGAGAGTCTAAGTTCTAACTTAACATTTTAAGTTACAATCCGAAATTCATCGAGTTTTATACTTAAAATTGATTCAAGCATTAGTGGTAAAATAATTTTTGTTTACAATTATAACTTAATAGGTGCGAGTTCAATATTTTCTTGCTATTTTCAAGCAACGACTACGCTTTGTAAACCCGTTAAGATTCCACATAGCAAGTCTGCCACGAGCGGAGACGAGCAGCTCGCGCATCTGGCAACGTCGCCCAACGCGTGCTAATCGATCTCTTCCCAGAGGATGCTCATTATCTTCACAGAACGCCTAATTATTTCTTGTTACGTCTGTTGGAGCAGAACACGTGGTTCCAGAAAAGTTGATTTCGGTTTTTGACGGAGAACTTGCTCGTATTTTATCTTTCACTTAGTTAAACCAAGTAAATTTCTCACAACAGTCCGCATCTTGCAATTTTGCATCAAATGCGACTATTTTGAATTAGTACCTGGGTCGTGTTCAGCTCCATAATCTCTATAGCGTTTCATATAAAAAATGTTATTCAGGGTTTAGAACTACTAGTTAGCTATTTTTTACTAGGTCTTGTTATTCGGGGTTTAGAACGACAATTTTAAAACTTTTATAACTGAACATGCGCTGCCGTTAGTTAAATATGAAAATAGTTCAAATTGAATTCTCCATCCCAGCACAATTCACGATATTCAAAATCTCATCTATCACCGAACGCCTTTCTAGTTACCTATGATTCATCAAATGTTGTACAGTGAATAGGTATTCCAAGAAAGAACCCTTTGTTTTATCACTGAAGTTATCGGATATTATTAGCGGAATTGTGTTCTGATAAACATACGTTGAATTCCTACCTATATGTATATCTACAAAATTGCGTTAGAAAAAATCGAGGTTTCTTGCTGTCGCCTCGCCGCGTCAACACCGTCGCTAGTCTCCCGAGTAGCGCGATCACGTGTAGCGCGCATGACGGAGCTAAGCGTGCCTGGGGCGAAATAATGTCGCGTTGTGATGACACTGTCTCACTTATGACGTCATAAATAGAAGAAATCTATTGCTGAACTAACACCCATCAAACTTTGAAGTGTCTTGCATCTTCATATAACAAAGAATTCAACTTTCAGCTGAAATATGATACAGCCGTTCTTTTTAGCGCATTTTCTCATTTATGGAAAAAAAATGCACTATAGTGCTCGCCATGTCCGTCCGTCCGTCTGTCTGTCTGTGTTCGTCTGTCCGTCCGTCTGTCCGTGACCTCAAGTTTTCGTCGACGAGATAATGCGCTCTCTGTCACTCACTGCAGTGAGTACTGCGTTATATTTTTTTCTACTTGCAATAATAAATTTACTTATTTATCTAGATATTGCATGGGATTAAAACGGTAAATGCCATAGTGCAATCACTCGTTCGCAAAGCAATACTTATGGTATTGAATAATCTTGCTTGCATTCATAACACCTTTTTTACTTCATTTTTGTTTCGATTGGTGCTTGCGTGTGTTGTGAAGGCAACTTTCACAAGGCTGTGTTTACGTGCGAGGTCATGACAGTTGCGTCTGTTCACTTGACGTATAACTTGACGACTTTGATGTGTCAAGATATCCTTATGTGTCAAGTTGTGTTCACCATCAACTGGAATACAGGTACGGTGTCCGTTATCATAGTAAGAACAGCTTAGTACGAACGATAAGTAACAATGATAAACCTAAGCTTGCTGTGTTAGTGGCTGAATGTTGAGTTCGAACTGCAATCGACCTTGCAGCCCGCATTGCTTTTCAACAGAAAAATGTTGTGTCATCACACGTCTGCAAGTGTAGAAGCAGGCAGTACTGGAACTGCACCGGATGAGCTGGTAAACTTTTTTCTTGATTTTAGTTCCAACCATTTATACGCTGCCGTTTTTTTTCGTACCCTGAACTGCTTTAAGGTTATATTCAATGTCTTAAAATGATATTGGTGGTATCTATGAAACTTCCCTAAGATACTCAAAGGACCGCAAGCTTTCTTAATAATTATCAAAGGAATCGTTACTAAAGATTACTGTTAATAAATTTCTTTCATAGATGGTCTGTTGGGCGCCTCACAAACAATTCTTTGCTTTGCACACTCAGTTCTGTCGCGACGCAGAATTCCGGAAATGCCTCAGAATGAGCGATTTTCACAGCTTGAGTGATGAACTGTTTATTACCGCCTGTTCTGAGACTGGCAATTGATGTTTATTATTCTTGACTAAGTATTGTAGGATGGATGATTATTTTGCTAGTTTTCCCGACACTGAGTCGTCTTTCGGCTGTTCATTTGCTTAGATTTATCGAATTTATTCGCAAATACTGGCTTGAACGGCACTTGTTATTCCGACGACTGTACAAAATGTTTTTTGTATTGATTTGTTGATTTTCCCATCATTCCGCTAAAGTTCTAAACACACAAGGGATTCGACTGTTTCAATCATAAAAACTTGTACATATATTGCATCTGTATATAAATGGGTGGTGAAGCCAATGGTGTTGTCGCCACTTGTATGATTTGTCCTTGCAATCATGGTTTATAACTCCAGCTGTCTTTAATGATGCCTTCTTTTTATTCAATCAATAAAATAGGCTACATAAAAATATAATCAAACTCAGGGATATATTGTATTCCATTCATTCCTATTGATATTTTGACGAGGTTCGGAACTAATCTCCTACTTATGTACCACCACCACCACCACCACTACCACATTAGCTCTCGTTCTGGTGGTTGGCATTCAGTGGAGCAGCTGACCTCCTTCACAGGTGAAGCGGTGTCAACATTAGGAATTTTTAGTGATCGTGTATCGCTCGATAGGACAATTAAAAATAAACATTGTCAGGCCTTGATATTTCGGGCGGCCAGTAGTCCACTGATAAAATTGTCAGCGGCCGGTTGCCAAGGTTAGGTTATCGATGTTGCTCTATGTTGCTGACCTACTGACTGAACTAGGGCATTCCGAACAGTCGTCATCTCGGTGTGCAAGTAGTTTAAACTATTGATTTGATTTCCGACCTTAAATTGGTAAACTTGAACATGAATAGAATATAGCAATGATTGAGTGACGAGCCTAATAGAATACAGATTTTAGTTTATCAGTCTACTTTGCCCAGACAAGTTGCACAATCTAACCTATAAGGCATAATCAAGTTGACGATCGCATAATTTGTCAGGAGCAATGTAGAAAATTTCTTCAAGATAACAAGCTGCTGCAATCTTCTGCATCAGTGTTTTGACTGGGGCTCGGGTATCAGGTTCGATTGAAGCTCTCAAATGGACTAGGGTACGATACAGCTGTGCTGCCTCATCAATACCTTCACTTGTAAACTCTATCTTCGGTACAAGCGATCATGTGCATAACTGGAAATTACACGTATCCAACGACACGTGTTTCATATGCTTGCAAGTCATAACCATGTCTCGCATAAAGCGTAAGTGCTTTTTAGGAGTTTTTTGGAAGACCTCCATGAGAGTTTTTCTCTTGACCAGCGATTGAGAATCTGACTTAGGAATTCATTTGTCGATATTTTAGTACCCGACATTCATGTTCCTATTCTGACATGAACAGAGAAATCAGTACGTTAGTACGATCGATTTTTGAACTATGGATTCATTTGTAACCTACAGTGTTTCCAATCCAAAGAACACATTTTATCTTAAGGCTCGTGACGAAAAACGAGTCCCTTAATTGTTATATGGATGCCTAGACCAGCCCATGGCGTATCAGGCGTTATGATTTTTTTTTCGAGGTTGTTGCCTCGGCTCCCATTGGTATTCACCTCTCGCGTGAGGTGCCAGCTATGCGTATCCCTTTGCCAGCTATGCGTATACCTTGGATGCCAAGTACGCATTTCTCGCGGCAGGCAACCACCTGAGGATGCGCTGACTCAAACACCGCGTGTTCGTGCGTGCCAACTGTATAGGCACAGAATCAAGTCCACTGTAAAGCCTGAATGGCCTGTATTGAAGAGAATGTTGCCATTTTTAATCTCGATATGCTTGAACTGCTGACTCTAGTGCACTGGAAAATGCTGATACTTACCAGTCCTGTTTTTAAATTACTAGCTGTTATTGCCCATAAAAAAATCAGCTTGATTAATTTGATAGAGCCACGATAAATGTATATATAAATTTGTGATATTTCCAATCCCTCTTTGAAGTGAAGAGAGCAAACACGTATTCATTAATTAGATAAAATTCACGTAAGACTCGCTTTTGGACACCACGATCGACATCAACAGGCATACATGTTAACCTTGTTCTAGCAATAATTTACTGTTATTCAACGATTGCCATTCGACTCTTTTTCACGATCTGTTTTTCTTGTTCCAGCCTGGACGGGTGGCGACGCTAGTCCCGGAAAAAAATGTAAGTTTTATGTGCTATTTTTATAATCGATCGTCTTCGAAAAATATGTCCAGTGGTTAGTGCATGCCTATCGTATTTTTTGTGACTTTGAATCGTTAAATGTACTTGTGTAAAACTGAATTAATTGTAATTGTGAATTTCTTCGTACAATTTTTAACCTTAATATATAACTGTCAAAAATGCCGACACCAATTTTCTTCTCTTCCAGCAACAAGTATATTGAGAATAGGCATTAATAACATGCATTTGTGGTCGAGTAAAAGTACTGGAACCTCAAACTGGGCAAGATTGTCGTAATGGTTCGACTCGCGCGCTTTTTGTTTTCTCATGTTTAGTTCCTAGGGCTCTGTCCTCAGGACTTTGGGAATACTGAACAGGTGGGAAGCTGAAGAAGTGGTATATAGGCAGCTGCGGCTTTTTCATCCATTACGTTTTGTATCTCCAACCACCAATGTCATATATATAGCGTGCATCAAGCTCTGCGGGCCTTGTATATTGTTCATTTACCAATGTTGTATTCGTGCGAGCCACGTTGAATCAATACTAGTCTATCCGTTTCCTATGCTTAAGCATTGAAGTGAGTAACGTAATTCACAATTAATTAGTTCTTTTCAGAATTTGTAAATTTAACTTACATTTTGGCTCGTAATTGCCTTTAAAATGCGTATAATATTGTCTGATGCCGTCTTGAATTTTTCATAATTCTCAGGCTTTCAATAATTCCTAATTTGACCCCATGCAGTAATGATATTTTATTTAACATCAACATATATGAACCATTTCTCCTTTATTAATTACAATTATTTACGTGAACATACAGCTGAATTCTCGATTAAGATCAAAACACAGATAACGGTCGGCGTTTTGCATTTGCCGCGTTCTTGACCGAGTTACAAGAATCGAATGCAATTCGAACGATTAGCCTTCCGTATCAAGAGAAATTATTGAAATTTTTAAATAACATAGTGCTTAACATAGCACACATAAATAACACAATAACTTAGAAGCTCGCTGATAAGTGAATCACGAGATTCTTCCCCCACAATCAGTCAAATGCGAAGCGTAAGCCTTTTGTATAGGTAGAATGAATACGCCTTTGATGATGGCTTTACAATTTGGATTGGAACAGGCATTGCAATTGGGGATTATTATTTCTGATCAATTTGTAAGTATAATTCTACATGTAGTCATGATACCTACAACCATTTTTCTCATAGAGTTCCTTCAAGTTTTTTTCAGTAATTAAACTGAAACGTTTAATTAAGTGAACGTTACGTTTATTACAATCTTCTAGTTTATAAAGCTGGGAAGGCTCTGCTCTCGATCATTCAGTTTATCCTGCATGAGAGCTTGCGAATACGTGTCTTGCTTGAGGCCAATTCCCAGCCCTTTGCATGAGCTTAAATCTTGTCTTGTGACGTTCTAATATTACATATAATTATATGCATTATTAGCCACTGAAATCTTTAGAATATCTCGTCCGCGCTCTGCAGGCACGAGAAAAAATGACAGGGTTGATGGTCCCTAAAATGAGCTCTAATTGCCTCTGTTTTTCCGTCCGTCTCAAATAAGATGACGGACGAGTTTTATCGTTTATTTCCTCCTATAAACTTTTATAGCATTGAGAATTAAGAAAATGTTTCTGCACTCTTTGTTGTTTCACATTGCCGAAACTTGTGCGTTAAAATAACCGTATTTACAGTGACCTACGAATTTTAGAAAATCATTTCGAATTAGTCTCTTTTCCTCATTGAAACATATCTCCAAGGTTGGTTAACTACTCGTCATGAGTAAGTTGCTAATAATTTTTTTTCTTCAAAAACTGAACTCAATCCATGCATGGATGGGAGCTGCTGCAAAAAGTTTGATAATTGAGTAATATAGTGAGCATATTCAACGGTGCTCGTTCTATTCTCCATGCAGATAAGGAAATTTAAGTTAATGTCGTTTTTTATCTGGACATTTAATTATGTTTTTGAACGTTCATGAATGCCACCTAACTTTGACGAATGCCACTAAACGTTGACGAATGCCACCGAACTTTGACGAACTCCACCGAACTTTGACGAACGCCACCGAACTTAGAAGAATGCCACTGAACTTTGAAGAATGCCACTGAACTTTGACGAATGCCACTGAACTTTGACGAATGCCACTGAACTTTGACGAATGCCATTGAACTTTGTCACTGAACTTTGACGAATGCCACTGAACTTTGACGAATGCTACCGAACTTTGACGAATGCCTCCGAACTTTAACGAATGCCACCGAACTTTGACGAATGCCATTGAACCTTGAGGAATGCCACTGAACTTTGACGAATGCTGCCGAACTTTGACAAATGCACCCGAACGATATCACCAGAAATGTGTTCATTACTGATTGTATTGACCGCAGGGCAGGACGTTCGGAGTGGCATACGAGATTGAAGGCGAGGCCGCCTTACAGTACCTCAACTCGAGGGAGGTGGAACTGGGCGGCTACACCACGGAGATCACATGCTTCCAGGCCCGTGAAGGCTGCACCTTCCCAGTGCTGCTCTACATCGCCACGCCAGACTCTAAAGACTGGTCGGGGCCAGCGCCCCCGCAAGTCATTGCTGCCGAGATACTGTCGTGCAGTGGCGCTACTGGTCAGTTATGTTCTCTAGTGTGATTTGTATGCTTATATAGTCATGCAGAAATATATATTTATAATGCCATTTTTGCTTTGTTTTTATTAGAAGTGTATTAATTCGAGTCGATTATCCAATAAATTGAGTTTGGTTCTTGTTCTGAATTAAATCTGTGTTGCTCTGTCGTACGTAGATCAGCAAAGTACTAATTTCAAGTTTGTGGATACGTGCAGGTCACAATGTTGAGTATCTGCTGCGACTAGCTGAGTTCATGCGCGACTACATCCCTGAAGGTTACGACGATCATCTAATCACTTTAGAGATGCTCGTGAGATCGGCCATCAAGGAAAAGAAGCTCTGCCTCAAGACGCTTATGGGCAACCCTCCTCCTCCTGGTCAAAGTCAACACCGCAGTGACGATGACATTGATATGGTGGGGCCTATGCCTGCTGCTATCGTCCAGGAACGAAGAGACACTTTCCAGTACTCCGCTAAAGTGCCTGCCAAGAAGCTGCGTTGTCTCAACCTTTAACGTTCAACATCTGGATGATAATGAATCTCGCTCGTGTTGCTTCACTCAGGAATTCTTAAGGTTTCTGGACTTTTGATGCTCATGTTCCTTAACGGTTGTTTTGCATGTGTTGTGGGGTAGAAAGATACTGATTTTGTGCTGACAACTATGCAGGCGTCTCTCATATTGAGAAGAACGGAGTTAGCTTGATGTTATGACTAACGAGCTTGTCAACCGTCCAACGTTGCCGACTTCATTTAGCTCAGTGGTTCCCAAACTTTTACTGGCTGGCGCCCCCTTGGCTCCCCAGTGAATTCCTAGCGCTCCCCACAGACACAATCCCCTCCTTAGACACACAAAAACCCAGCTTTTGAATATTTTAAAAAATTTACACTAGAAACCCGGGAGAAATTAAAAAACCTAGATCTGGGTGAAAAAACCCATCGCTGGGAGTCATGTACTGCACATGTTGTATACTAATCGTCAAACAAACGTTCGAACTTCTGACTTCGACTTCGGACTGCGCCCCCCTACTGCCCCTTCTTCCTCACCGCCCCCTGATCTTTTCAACGGCCCCCAAGGGGGCGGTACCGCCCCCTTTCGGAACCACTGATTTAGCCGGTCAATACGAATGATCGTTACGATCTACAGCTGCTCAAATCTAGACGAGTTAATTTCCATGCCAGCATCTGTTTCAAGCATTGATTGATTGTTGTCTTGTGTCGCAGTAGGTATTTTCTAAGACTGCAGCTGTTTGACAGCATCTCTAGGTACATTAATCTTATTTCATACATTTGCTATTGCAGAAATTCTCCTGGCTTCCCTGGATTTAAAGTTTATTATAACTTATTCTTAATATTCTCGAGTTCGATATTTTATTATTAGTTTATCCCTGATATGCAAATTTCGTATCATTTTGACTGCACAAGGTGGTTCCTCGATTAATGCAGATTCACGTTTATTTTTTGTTTGTGTTTGGGTCGCTGATCGATTCTTGACTTATCGCTGCTGATGTAGGTACTCGGAAAGGTGTAAGGAATTTCTAAGTTTTCTCTTTATTTATTGTCTTGGCGAATGTTGTTTTTTGGCAGCTTTTTCTTATGTGCGATAAGCTGGCCTACGTTTGGCAATGAACGAGAAATGTTCAACAAGCGTTAATTTTTATAGGCGTGCACTATATCGAGCCAGTATTTTTCTATTTTTATAGTATGACTACTAACAGATTTTTATTTCTGATGCGGTTCTCGTTCCTTACTGATGACTTGTGAAAGCAGTGCTGTGATATTGCCGGCGTTCTCTCCACTGAACATCCACAGTATTAATGTGTTCCGCTATTGCCTACACTGCAATGTTCAGTCTTTTTACGGGGTGGCTGTTCAACGGTAACTGCAATAACTTGAGTAGAATGACAATTTATTTTCGAGCATCTTTTATATACTACGTTAATTGTGGAAAAACTGGCTCGTCGTTAACTGGAGTGACCTGACATCGCCGAAGTCACCGTTTAATTTTTAGCAAGGAGACTAAAATACTTCACCTAAATATTAAAATAAAACTCGAGAAAAATTATTTTCCAATTTGGTTACTTAAAAATTTATCATGCGATGAAAGAAAATTGGACTTTGGACGTTCTTTAATTCGTTGTTTGCGTTTTAGTTTGTAAAAATACTCTATTAAACTCTATACATATGTTAGCAGAAATTAGGAAGTACGGTGTTGATAGATTTACTTTGTGCCTTTTTAACGTACGGCTACTGAGATGATGAAGCTCACGCGAGTCTCTGACACTAGGTGGTGGCTGGGCCAAGAGACGAGCTCATTGTATTGTCATCTTGTCTTTATTGAATCTTATTACCAAGGCATCAAGTGAACATAGTTCATCTAATGATATCTCTTAATCATTTAGGGTTTGCGAAAGATATGCTAAGGTGTTGTGTTCCATGCTCATTAATGTGTGGTGCGTGCCTAAGCTTTTTTACTGTTGGTAACTTGCCTTCTGATATGCATCTCTTAATTTCACCTTGAAATTAATGACTGTATTTAAGTAGAAGTACGTGTTACAGACTTAAGAACATGCAGTAACGGAGATTAGCTCCTGGTATAATATCTGGACCATTTAATGCTTTGAATTCGTTTGTTTAAATTTTAGTTTGTACTTACGGTCATGATAGCTGTTATTTTTACTCCACGGTTAACCGTTTTAACACGTTGACTACGATTGCTTCATCTAGTACTATTATTTCATTTTTTGTACTTTTTTAAGCAGGGTTGCATGACGGTCATTTTTTCCGGAGAAATTCGGTGATTTAGTTTTTCTCAATTTCGTTGACCAGCTAAAATTGATAATATGGGTACTTCCTAATTAAATTTTAAATACTGCAAAAAGAAAATAAATGGAATTTTTATAGTGGAACCTATAAATAAACTAGTATACATTAAATTATCGGCCGTTTTTGGCCTTTTTGTTCTCGGATTTGACCGATTTTAGGCAACCTGAATTATGTACCACTACCTCCTGGAGAAATACATTTCGTGGTACGCATATGTACCAATACGTAGTCAACGTGTTAACTACCAATTTTCTCTACTTCTTCTCTTTTTTAGATTTAAATTTATATTTTTATGGAAATTGGTACGAACGTATCGTTTTGGGTATTTATTTCGATACATTTTTGTTAAAGATATTTATTTTTTGCGGTACCGTATATATGTTGTAAGAGTGTATAATTGAAATTAATACGAATATTGCTCTGTGTAACCGAAATACAAGCAAGTCTACGCAGCATGTAAATTCTGTCGTGATTAAATCCTTCTCACTTGTACGAAACTTGACTAATCAAGCAAATGAAAAGATACTTCTTGAAAGGATTTATTTTTAAGTATAGAAAATTTTAAGCTTTTGCAGTGAAGAAATTTCACAAATATTGTTGTTGCTATTGAACATTGATGAATTTCTTTCCATCGATTAATATTTAGCAATAATTTGCATTCTGCGTAGAAAGATTTTTATATATAGGCATGAGACCATTTACTCTATGGTCGCATAGTTGCTCTACGGTGTCAACTTAATTTATATTTACTCCGTAAGGCTTTAAATAATTTTTATAAAGTAAGCTCCTTAGAAAAGCTACTCAATTCACTTCATTCGTTCTGCTACGTGTCGCACATTAAAATTACAATGAGAAGTATTTGATGACTGAATTTTTCATCCTCCGTTGTTCTCGTGGCCTAACTGAACACTTAATCTTCTTGTGGCCTCCATTTCCACTTGATCATAATTTTACGCTGTTTTAAATCGCAGTTTGCATGCTAGGCATTAGCGTTTGATCTCTCGTGGCGATTACAATCTTAAATTTACATGTATGAGAACGGGTAGATTTGTTGCTATCTTAACATCAATACTGTAAATAATGCCATATCGTGCAAGTATTTTCTTCTATCTAATAATTGCTTGGGCTACCAGATACCATGTAAATAGATAAATCATTAGCAGACACGGCAAGAAATAACGGGTTTGCTTGCATATCCGAGGGTTGATTAGTGAATATTGTTTTATCGATGCTTTAATCATTGGACTGATGTTTTAAATTGCGCCTCTCATCAAAACGATTCATTCTAAACATCTGATATAAACCATCTATGGTTAAAAATTGGGCTGAACGTGACGATATTTTGAATCAAAAATGATATTTGGTCGAGAATTTTATTTAAATTTTCAAACAAAAATATTTGATCGAGAAATTGTTTATAGCCAGTTATTAAAAAGCCTGAGCTAAGTGCCGGTGTCGTAGGGTTCGCGCAGGAGCGGTTCTTTTGGACGCAAGTTTACACTGCACGTCGCTACAACGGATGCTCCCGTCAGAACATGGCACAACCACAAGACCAACGCTCGCCATGCCCCTCGTGATGTAAACTTTCCCATGGTGCAGCTCGTGCAAATGCTTCCGTAGCGTCGTCCATATCAAGTCGCGTCACTTCCTTTCTCTCAGTTTGATATAAACGAGACGTACGTCGCCGCATGGCTATGAAGTCCCGGTGGAGACAAAGATCGATTTAAGGTCCTGAAACTGGGACGGCAACGGTCATGGCACGAGGTACATCATGTAGTTCGTGAGTTCAAAATAATAAACCACGGAATAAAAACCCAATTGAGTACCGTGTTGAATTAAAAATCCATGTAACTAAGGATTTCTTACCAGGAAGATTCATCTTAAATAAATCCTAAAAATGATTTCTTTTGACGATTAGATTAAAATTCTTTACCTACGTATTGGGCCCTAGCTATTCGCATTTTACGAGACAACAACACACTCTTCGCCTGTAATACTTCCAGACAATTCGGTTTATTGTTTACAAATGTGCACTAGTCTAAGTGAAAAATTCTCAAATATGTGAGAAAACACATTAGTAAAGAGGTTAGAATGAGGTCGGTAAACATAACTTAGTAATTCTCGTTAAGCGTAGAATCCCACATTTTTCAGTGTTGACTAAATCTAATTTCCGGATATTTTTTTTCGCTTGTAATACAAGGACGGGCTGTGAAAATATATAAATTTCAACCTTAGAGTCCGAGTTATTGAAACGGAAACAGGAGCAGACAATCTCATTTTAATGTTTCTAATCATGAAGATGGGTAATCTATTTAGTTGAAAATATTTATTACTCATTTAAGTAATGTTAGTTATAGTAATTCGACTAACCCTTGAGAAGAAACGAAAATTGCGTGTGAACGTTGAGGAAATAAGGTTTCTCTCAGGATATTGTTAGCAGAGCTGTGCAGCGCTACTCTGAAATCTAGCGGCCGCTACATGTTGCGCGCTACTGCCCACCTCTGATTGTTAGTGTTTACAAAAATATGTGTGGCAATTAAGCGATGATCTGATGCATAACTGAGACATTTTTTTACATCGGAAAATTCTGATGATGAGATCTATTTCAGGAGTAAAATATAAACATGTCAGTCATTTGGATGTCACCCAACGTTAGTGTCAAGATTGTTTTAAACATCATCTGGGTGTTCATCAACGACTGTCTAAACATTGTTATAACAAAATCTGGATGTGTAACAACGTCCGTTTTACTTTTTTTTAACAAAATGATCCACAACAAGGTTCCTCTTATAAGGCCTAGCAAATTACGGACCAGGCAATAAGTCCAGCAGCTATCTCAATCAATCGTCAGCTATGGAAAGATCGGGTTCCAAAGGCCGGATCCCTTGTGAATCAAGTCACGAAAAGTTCAAGAATCGGTAACAGGCCATGGGCCTATTTCTTCAACGCCGACACTTCTATTCTATTTACTATTCTACTCTCTGGGTGCGTGAGTGACGCAGCTTACGTGTACTCGCTTGTGTTTATCTGAGGCTGATGTGTTGGCCCAGGATGACAGGAAGCGTCTCATTTGGAGGATAGTTGGCCTCGACGTCTTCAGTAACCTTCTTCATGCTAAGGACCCAGAGTAGGACGTAAATCAGGAGATAATGACCGAGTAATTGATATTTCTCGTCTGGAATTGGGCTCTCGTCGAGAGATGCGTGTCATGATACCAAGTTCCTTCTGTTTGGTTCATGATGTTACATTTGTTAGAACAATTTTGTGTTGAAAATTATATTAACGCTCAGCTTCCTTGTTTGTACTACACGCATGCATCTTTGGCACGAATGTTACACGACCCTGCCTAGGTTACTCTTTTATGATATTCTGGTCAAATAGTTATTATTTGACACATATAACAGCATTATTATTATTTAATTAGTTCAGTCGCCGCTCTTTGCATCACAGTGTTTACGTTTAACTGAATTAAATTATCTCACAGATGTAATGTTAAAGATTTCGCTTTATTCATTATGTGAGGAACACTCAGTGATTTTCAGCTATAGTGCATATTATCCCATCGACGAGTCGGTAAGGATTTAGCTCGTTAGAACTTTAGGGCAATGAACAAAGTTGAGCTTTACGAGCAACGACAGCCTGATTGGTCAGACACGTGCGCCTCGCATCACTCAGCAACGCGGGCGCTGATTGCACATTTCCTGCAGTAACAAACTTCGGTAATTTCCCGTGCCATTTGTTAAGTAATTTTGCTTCTGCTGCTACCTCTCACTAATTATCATGCTTTTATTATGTGCTCTTGTTTATTGTTTTGTTTATCAAGTTAAATATGAGGAGTGTGACAGGAATAAGGAATAGACCTTTTCAGTTGTTAGCTCTCATTTTTTTTTTTGTCAAGTTGAAGAGCATGGATGATTGATTATGCGTATATAATGCAACCAATTTTTTTTTCTATGCGGTACCGAGGTTTATTTTCTGATTTCTCGCTATTGATGTTCGATGCGCTTTTTAAGCAATTAAATTCAAACTTTTCTGGCAATTTTAGAGAATCGCTGCACGTTTGGTCGATGGAGACTTGGACGTGATAAAATAAATAATTTATATCGCAGTATTTTTCTCTTCTTCGTAGTCTCTTCTTTGGGAGACAGCAACTCTCGTTTAAAATTCAACGGTCACAGAGTTAACAATCAGTAAATTATTTGTTTGGTTTCGTAAATCCGTTTTCATGCAACGTGCAATGGGTTGCTTAGACGCAAATTTAAATACTCAGAATTTCTCCCTTTTTTCTCACACACAATCGCCGCGCTGTTATCCCGCAAATATTGTTAATGGAATCACAATTGAGTTGACGTTGGTGATTACAATGAGTGGTCAAAACAGTGATTACGGTTGACAGGTCATCAGGCAAGAGTTTTGTCAACTGATTGCTACCCTACAATTACGCTCTAGGTTCCTAATGATGACCGCCGCTGGGGCCGCTGTGCTGCGTGTCAAGTTGTCAACCCCGCGCTGGGCAGATGCTTGGGACGCGCGCTTGATGTGGCGGATGGTATAGGGCAGTGGTTCCCAAAGTGGGCGATATCGCCCCCCTAGGGGCGGTGGAAAGATTTTGGGGGGCGATAAGGAAGAAGAAGACGGTAGGGGGGCGATGTGGGGGGCGGCTGTCCGAAGTCAATGACGGAAGTTCGAACGTTTGTTAGACGATTTGTACACAACGCTTGCAGCACATGACTCCCAGCGATGGTTTTTTCTGTTTTTTTTTTAACCTAGCTCTCCTGGGTTTGCGTCTCGGACAAATTAACGGCCGGACTCGAGGCCGGTCTCACGGCCAATTTTCAAATTCAATGATCAAGGAATCCGAATATTTCTCAAACTAATGAACTTAACTCGATGAAACTTGGTACACGTATTCATTAGGACCTAACGGTAATGTTTTGCTCGTGAAAATTGTTTGAATTTTGCCATCGTTCTTTTTTTCCATACTTATATGACAATACGTGCCGAAATTCACGGTAATCAAGTAATTTCTTCCAAACTACTGAACAGATTCGAACGAAATTTTGAATTTACAGTCCTGACTAAAAAATTTTCGATTGTGCCTTCGTTCGCGAGTTTTTTTTTTTTCATTTCAGCTTCATTCGTGATTTAAACAGCAATTCGTGCTTAAATTCGCAGCAATCAAGGATTTTTTTCCAAAACTACTGAACAGATTTGAACGAAACTCAGTATTTAAATACCTAAACCTCAGCAACGGTGATGTTTACATTTTTTCTTTTTGCCTTCGTTTGCGAGTTATACGGCTATACGTATACTGATTCTGATTTATAGAAGCCATCGATCGACAGGTAGAAAAGCTGGTCGTTCCTACTATATCTGTATAACTCGCAAACGAAAGCAAAATGGAAAAATTTTTACGAGCTAAACATCACTGTTGAGAGGTTATGTATTTTTATACAAAGTTTCGTTGAAATCTGTTCTGTATTTTAGAAGAAATTTCTTGATCGCCGCGAATTTAAGCGACAAATTACCCGGCGATACGGCCCGAATATAAGGAAGTGTGAAATCAAGAATGACGGTGAAATGAAAAAAACTCGCAAACGAAGGTAAAATCGAAAAAATTTATAAGCTAAAAATCACCGCTTGGTAGTTAGGAATGTATATTCAAAATTTCGTTCAAATCTGTTCAATAGTTTGGAATAAATTCTCTGATCAATGCGAATTTTGGCCTGTTTCGCAAGATACGCGCAACTCACGAATGAAGGTGAAATTAAAAAAAAATTACTAGCTAAACATCACCGTTAGGTTCTGATGAATGCGTGTTCCAAGTTTCATAGAGCTGCGTTTATTAGTTTGGGAGATATTATCTTGATAATTGAATTTGGAGATTGGTCGTGAGACCGGCCAAGAGTCCGGCCGTAAATTCGCCCGCGACGTCCTTGGCTTCTAGTGCTGAAACAGTTCAAACAGCTGAAAACATATTGGTATACTAAATGGGTTCTATTTGTGAAATACACATTTGTGTTTAACCTTTATCTTTTAAAATTTCAGCGTACTAAATTTCAAGAGAGTGGCGTATGTCTGTGGGGGGCGCTAGAAATTCACTAGGGGGCCAAAGGGGGCGCCAGCCTGAAAAAGTTTGGGAACCACTGGTATAGGGCTTGTTTGCTATATAATGGAATAAAACCAGGTTCTATAAGTCGGCCATGGTTTAGAATGGTTTATTTACACATGACGGACAATGAAGTAGTAACAGGCATATGAATGACTACACACAGATTGAATTATTGACATGTGATATGGACGCTTGCTGGTGAATGACTGACATAAATGAGAAGAATGGACTAACGTTACTTATTAACTACAAGTTACGGGACGATCCCGTATGTTACGGTCGGGTTTACGTTAGTTTCCCCGACACTTGACAGCCTGCGTAGTGACCGCAACACACCCGACGCACGCTGAGGTATCGAGCGCGTATATCGCTGTTTTTAGCACATTTTCTCATTTGAGGATAAAAAACGCTATTGTGCTCGCTATGTCCGTTCGTCCGTCTGTCTTTCCGTCCGTGACTTCACGTTTTCGTCGACGAGAAAATGCGCTCTCTGTCACTCACTTCAGTGAGTACTGAGTTATTTTTTTTTGTTACCGGTTGTCAAGTTATTGCTCTTGAAATTTGACATCAGAATGAATATTGCGATATGAAAGTTGAAACGATTTTTTAATAATAAAATTATGTAATTGCTCAAATCAAGAACGTTGTAGGTGACGGGCTCCACGCAGTTTTTTATCGCATGTTATGAAGTTATTGTTTTAAAAATGGAAATAATGATGAATATTTTGTTATGTTAATCGAAATTATTTCTTAATAATGTTGAATTTACGTAATTTATGACATCGAGGGCGTTTTAGATAGTACCTAGCTCTTCTTATTTGAAATAATTATGAATATTTTGGTACGATAGTTGAAACGATTTCCTCTCCAAAAATTTGGTAATTGATGGCGATGGCTTTGCAAATGTCTACTTCTCTAAACTTAATTAAGTTTTTTAATTTATCGTTTAAATGTTTACGTAATATTGATGCACCTAGTTCATAACATAATACTGCGTATCGTTTATTTCATGCAAGTATATCGCTGCGTAGTGTTGTCTGTGTTTAATGATTTCGGCGGCCTAGATTGATTTTAATGGCACAATACCACCGCAGTGTGAGTAGTTCATTGTGAATTAACATACAGTGAATTAACCTCAGTGCAATGGTTTTATTTATTTTTTGCGGTTGTGGGAAATATATTTTTTTCAGCCGTGTTAAAATGTTTCGGTTTTACGCAGGTGAAAACGGTTCGATTTTACGCATGTCACGGCATGTGATCTCTCGATCTACAGACGCGCGTCTTCGTTCGTCAAAAGTTTGATGGGACTCCAAATTCGCAATGGCTTTGCTGGTCCATAGCGCCTTTGACCGCGCGGTGTCTCTTTTCGTAAAAGCGGCCTTTGAGATCAAATCTTGTTTCTCTCGTCGTTTTCCGTCAATTCGAAATTTATATCTATCGCCCCTCACAACTAAAGAACATTATTAAATTCTTTACATTTTTTGGTGGTAAAGGCATTTCACCTCACTGATTATCCTGCTGCTACAACCGCGATCGCAGACCCGGTGTACGTATGGTCAGTGTTTCAAATTCATGAATATCGTTTTATAAATGCGCTGTAATTTGTGGTATTTCGGAAGGTAGAATGTGAACGATGAATTTTAGTTTTGTATTTAGACGAAATTTTGACTCGTTCCTTCACAATGCCTGCCATAAAAGGTCACAGTTTTCTCCACGGCAGCAATTTAAACATGAAAAAAAATAGTTTACAATATTTACAGTAAGTACATGAAAAGAACACCGACAGAAACTTCACACTAACTTTTTTTGGAAAACGACCAACTTGACTCGCGAAGGCAGTCTCTTGCCTAGACGAGACTACCAAACACGTTCAGCCCAACTTCAACTTGCTTAACCATAGCCTAACTTTACCCAATATATGGCGCGCAATATAAATATCTATGCACACAATTATTACTACGACAGAACCCCTCTCTCCTCCGCAACCCGTGAGTGAAACACCTTGCGGAAAATATTTCCCTCTGTAATTTAATAATAAATATTGTGAAAAATCAATTGTTTACTTCTTATCCTCATCATAGGACAACGGAAGAATAATCACGGATGCTGAACGCAATTTCTAAGGGGGCAAAATTAGCTATTAGGTTAAGGGACCTTCAGGCATTTAGCAGTAAAAGAGGATCCTTAGGGTACCGACACAGTGAAGCAGGTTGCCAGCGTGCTGGTTACCTGCTTAGGCTGGCGCCTGAAATTGACATAAATAGGCCTGGCGCTGGCCTATTCGTACAGATTTTCACTGTGAACACTTACATTATTATCCTATGTTCATTCTTGTGGCAGGTTGGAGTAGGTTGCCCGCGCGGGCTGTGTTTTCTTGCTTTCCCTGTGTACGTATCCTTAGGTGCAGTTGCACTAGTGTGAGTACCCTTAGGTGCACTTGCACTAGTGTGGGTACCCTTAGGTGCACTTGCACTAGTGTGAGTGCAAGTGTAAGCACTAGTGTGAGTGCAAGTGTAAGCACTAGTGTGAGTGCAAGTGTAAGCACTAGTGTGAGTGCAAGTGTAAGCACTAGTGTGAGTGCAATCTAAATAGGTGCAGTTGCACTAGTGTGAGTACCCTTAGGTGCACTTTCACTAGTGTAGTGTGAGTACCCTTAGGTGCACTTGCACTAGTGTGGGTATCCTTAGGTGCACTTGCACTAGTGTGGGTATCCTTAGGTGCACTTGCACTAGTGAGGGTACCCTTAGGTGCACTTGCACTAGTGCAGCTACTGCGTCATGTCAAGAGGGCGTTGCTGTAGCGCCCCTAGGGCAGCAGGCAGCTGCTGCAGGGGGCGCTGCCCCATGTGGCCAGGTCCTAAGGGCAGCAGACGAGGGCGCCCGCGACCCCTCTTCACCACCACAGCAGCAGGCGCTGACGAAGAGCCTGAAGAAAAGGATGTGTATCTTTATTTTAAAATTTTAATACGGAGCGTGTGGAAATAATAAAATTTTGCGCGTGTTTCTTATGTCAATGTTCTTAATTTTGCTTTCAGTTCTTATTATTCAATATTATTCTCTTAACCTACTCGTATTGATATTTTATTCTAAAGATGAAATAATTAAAAGTATAATAAAATGATAACAGATCTGAAGACAGCCCATGGCAGATTTAAAAGTTAGATCGTTCATGCAGCTTGCGCATTCTCATTGGATTATATTTTAATTCTAAATTAATTTGGATCATTTTATAAAAAATCATGTCAAATGCAATTTAAAGATATGCGTTCAATTTTACATAATCATGATTTACACCGCACAGTGGACCAATGCTAAATATTACATTTAAATATCTCCCTCAATATCTCAATGGGAAACAAATATAATCAATAGAGAAAGGTCAGATTTACACTGAAGAGATTAAAACCGAAATAACGTATAAACGTATGAAGGAAAATAAATAATTATCGATTTCGAATTTCGAGCTTATAAGAACTGTACGATTTGTTAAGACACTACCGGTAGTTTATTAACGCTTTTAATTATATATCCTATCGGTATTATAATCTCTCTGTCTGGCTCTAAAAATTATTTGTAACCAATACCTGCAAGAGACGCTATATAATATTGCATAATAATAATAATAATAATTATATTTAATTAAAGAATAATTTTAACGTCTCTCCTATTGGTAGCATAATCTGTCTCTCAGCTTTAAAATATTATTTGTAACGAATTATTCCAAGAGATGATATATAATATTGCATAACAATAATAATGAATTCAAGAAATAGACATTATATAACTTTGCTTAATAATAATAATAATAATAATAATAATGAATTCAAGAAAGAGACATTATATAACTTTGCATAATAATAATTATAATGAATTCAAGATTTGCATAATAATAATGAATGAAAGAACAATTGTAGCGTGTAGTAACTTGAGTCAGCAGGGGGCGGGGGTCGAGGCATGGCAGCAGCGCGCCCCCTGACGCCTGACATGCGCGGGCGGCCGCGCTTGCGGTGACCACGAACTGTCGTGTTGCCCAGCACGCTGCCTTGTATACCTGGGCCATAATTGTTACTGTCATACCTGTGCGATAATTGTTACTGTCATACCTGTGCGATAATTGTTACTGTCATACCTGTGCGATAATTGTTACTGTCATACCTGTGCGATAATTGTTACTGTCATACCTGTGCGATAATCATTACTGTCATACCTGTGCGGTAATCATTACTGTCATACCTGTGCGATAATGATTACTGTCATACCTGTGCGGTAATCATTACTGTCATACCTGTGCGGTAATCATTACTGTCATACCTGTGCGGTAATCATTACTGTCATACCTGTGCGATAATTGTTACTGTCATACCTGTGTGATAATTGTTACTGTCATACCTGTGCGATAATCATTATTCCTTATTTTTAACTCATTATTCCTATTTTTATAGGAATAATTATAATTTTATATTATCATTATTTATATTTTATATAATTTTCATCATTATTACATCATGATATATCGCCATCATTTCTCCAATGCAATTTTTGAGTTTCAATATAATTATTGAAAATGAATACAGGATCATCAATATTTTATAAGTTTTCTTCTAGGGTAAATGTCTATGCAATATAACAACAAGCTGAAAAAATAATTGCTCATAATGAAGAGGCCATAAGTAAGGTACCTATATTATTCATCGAAATTTAGGATCGCAATAAAAGTTTACAATGTTTCGAGATCTGGTCGATTCTGAAAGAAAGGCCTTTACGTTCAATTTCAATAAAATTTTTAAGAAAAACGAGACATGAAAAAGGGCTATAATATTTTTAAAATAATTTCATTATTATTAGAATGTAGATTTTAAAACATATCATATGCTAAGAAGAGAGATACGATTTCATGCCATGCTTGAATGCAAGTTTTAAAATGCTCACAGATTTCCCCGGCAATCGGTTCCGAGTGCACATTCAAGAATCCTAACCAAATCAACAGCCAAGCGGGATAATAAGTTGATTTTTAATGGGAATATTTGTAATCCATTTGGCTAATAATACGAATCCAAAATAATAAAAAAGCTATTTCATTATTTTGACCTTCTGCACCAAACTGGCGTTTTGAATAAGCAATACTTGGAGTAGCAGGGATCAGGTCAGCAGGATTACCTTCACTCTCCAAGCAAATAATGTTGATTATGAGTTAATTTCGCTAAATCTACGTTCTTTCAACGTCATGTACCTAATGAGTAGAGCATTTAATAATAAATACCGAGAACCAATTATTCGCCAGTCAAATGACGTTAAAATGACATTGATAACTCGTTTATTTCTATGAACTAACGCTAATTAAACGTTGTTTAATACTGATCGTACCAGATGGGAGGTCTGTGATGAACGCAGCAGACGTCGACGGTTCGACGTTCTGAACGTCGCCCCGGCAGACGGGCTGCGGTGGCAGGGACGGGTCGCTCGCCTGCTCCTCCGCCTGCGACGAATTTTTTTAAAGTTTGAAAAAATTGACCTCTATGAAGAATAAATATTATAATTTGCCTGTCGGCGGGAAACATCTTCACTGATCGACGAGACCGTGAACCCAGGATCTTTTATATCAAGATCAATGTTAGGTACAAGATTGTCTTAGCAAGCATAAAAATAGTGATTGCTAGAATTATAATCACGATTGGTAGTTTCAAGATTGTGGGGATTTAGACCGAGATCGCTGGGAGCACAATCTTCATAGCTGGATTACGATCAGCGCTGTGTTCAAGATTTTGTAAATAAATCCTTGTTCTTTATAAGAGATGCGGAAGATATATAAGAGATAAGGAAGATATATAAAAGATGCGGAAGATATATAAAAGATAAGGAAGATATATAAAAGATAAGGAAGATATATAAGAGATGCGGAAGATATATAAGAGATAACGAAGATATATAAGAGATAAGGAAGATATATAAGAGATAAGGAAGATTTATAAGAGATGCGGAAGATTTATAAGAGATGCGGAAGATATCTAAGAGTTAAGGAAGATACACAGATATAAGATATACATATATAAGAAATATTTAAAGGTTCTCACAGCAAGTTTGCCGTCGTCAGCGTCCGAGGGCGTGGGTGGCTGTGAGAAGCTCTTGGTCTCGTCGCCCTCCTCCTCCACGCGCCTCTTCTTGCCCTCCAGAAGCTCTCGCTCCAGTTTCTGCAAAATAAACTCCTGGTTAATTATTTTGTTCAATTTAAATACTAATGGATAATTAGCCTTGGTAATCATTTCTTAGAAATTATTCTCACACATTTTCATATATTTAAAAAAAGCATTTCTCGTTTAATACAAAATATCCTCTTTTTTCAATCAAACATCGAATAATATGTATATTCTATGAACTGCAATTGAGTTTGAAGTGATAGGAAAGTATTAAGTAAATTAAATAACCTTCTCAGCATAGCCAAAATATTCTTTTTTTTTTTCAATCAAAATTGGAATAATATTTCATTCTGTGAACTGCAAATGAGTTTCAAGTGATAACAAAATATTAATTAAATTAAATAACCTTCTCAGCGTATCGCTTGCGCATCTTCTCTCTGTTGTACTCGACACGGCGCTCGTCTAGCGCACGACGCTCGTCCTGACGAGCGCGGACTGCGGGGAAACAACGAACACGATTACGTTTAGAAAAACTGAAATATATAGTTTTTATATATTTCATCTATTTAAACTATATATATATGAAATATGTAGTTTAAATAGCATGTAAAATTAAATTACTGAAAGTTAAAAATAATTACAGTTGAAAGAAAAAGAAAATATACCTTCAATGCGATTTCATGCCCTACGAAGTCGAATATATAATACGAGTACTAGGTACACGAATGAAGACAACTAATCATTACAGTTGAAATTTATGACAAGATTTAAAAAAAGGAAGTGAGGCTTGAAAAACTGAAAATATACTTTCAATACTTTAGCAAGAAAATTGAAATTTGTTGACTAAGATTAGAAAAGTAAGGTTTGAAAATTTAAACAGAAAACTTCAATCCTATATTAATAAAATGTTAATTTATTGAAACCATGTTTAACGGGAATAGACCGCGTGTTGAAGTGTGAAAATGTTAATGATAAAATGGTGGATTTACTCACAATACAGATTAAAAAGATAAGTAACTTTTTTAAAAATCTTTGATCGCAATTTTTCGACCTTCTTTGCCTAGTTAGTCAGTTTGCTGAAATACTTGAGTTTCATTTGAATCTCATCGAAACTAACGCAATACAGATGCCAACGCTCTTATTAGTAATACATGAATAAATCAAGACCAAAATAAAAAAAATGGTATTCAGTACTCACTGCAGTGAGTGACAGAGAGCGCATTTTTTCGTCGACAAAAACGTGAAGTCACGGACGGACAGACAGGCGGAAGGACATGACGAGCACAACAGTGCATTTATTCCATAGAAACGAAAATGCGCTAAAAACACATAACATTAAATTTGATGCTCACATTGCTGCTCGATGTCGTCATCAAGGAGCAGTGAGACGACTTCCTTGGGCTTGAGCGTGTCAGGCTTGAAGCTCCCGCCGCTGATAACCATGCGCTGGATCTGTGTGCAAAATATCACTTGTAAGGAACTCCAGTTCACCGAAATATATCTGAAGTTATATATAAAGTTTATCTATAAGATATTTCCAATAAGCTTACAAACATTCATTCAAGATATGCTGCCACGTGTGTTATGGGCGGCTAATGTGCGGTCTGCATGCAGAAAAAATCACTTGTAAGGAATTCTAGATTAGTGAAATATATTTGAAGATATAACTTTAAAGTTCGCATATACCCTGAGCTATTGGAGAGAATTTTGTCTCGATTCCTTTTAATTAGGCAGCAATTAGTTACAATTAGGTAGCACACCGACGTAATATACGTTTCATTGCATTTATTTTGCGCATCCACGTTTCCAATTCAAGCAATTATCTAACAACATTACATTTACATTCGCGGGGTGCTTGTACACAGAAGAGAATTTCTTCTATCGAATCCACGAAGTGCCAAGGCGCTTCGAAATAAACATCGAAGTAAGGAAATAATTAAACTTTAATTAATTATAAGGAAATAATTAAACATCCCACATAAGCACCTCGCTCTTTTCCTTGGCCCGCTGTAGGATGCGTTCCTCAATAGTGCCTTTACAAATGAGCCTGTAGACGGTGACCTGCTTGGTCTGTCCCACGCGGTGCGTGCGGTCCATCGCCTGCTGGTCCACAGTCGGGTTCCAGTCAGAGTCGTAGAATATCACCTGAGAAACAATTAAATTAATAATATTTTATCTGATGGTTCCAGTCAGAGTCGTAGAATATCACCTGAGAAAATTTATACACTGAGCGAACTTATACAATTGAATTAATGATATTTTTTTGCTGGTTAATGATATTTTGTCTGCTACGGGACATTTGCAAGATTTAAATATAACATGGGAAAATTTATTGAGTTAGTGAGCTTATTTAATTGAGTTTATTTAATTTTGTTAGCTGGTTTAAGTAAGAATTGTAAAAAACAAATACACGAGTAAGACAAATGCAATTAACTAATCTCATGTGTTACCAGACCTCACGTTGATAGGAGGAGACATCGGGACCCAGAATAATGCGTTTAGATATACAAGAGAAATGCAAATTAAGAGCTTGCAAATGATACTATTACAAAAACTATTGATACTCACATGAAATAAATTTGTAAGAATAGAATTTTACTAAATGATTTCACGGTAATTTGACTCCTTTTATAAAAAAAATATCATCCCAAATTTAGATGCGAAATATAAATCAGTATCTGTGGCAATTTTAAAAATATTATTTACAGGTGTTTTAATAAACTTTAAGTACAGGTGTGTTTAATAAACTTTATTTACAGTTTTTTTAATAAACTTTATTTATAGTTTCGTTAATAAATATTATTTACTGACAGTGTCCGCGGCCGTGAGGTTGATACCGACTCCTCCAGCTCGCGTAGACAAGAGGAACACGAAGATGTCTGATCTGCGAGGGAACACAACGAATTAAATCACGGTATACGGAACAGTTGAGCAGTTTTAATTACGATAAATTAGGTACAGAGCTTTTGCAGGAAACAGTCGAGCAGTTTTAATTACGATAATTATGGTACGGAGCTTTTGCGGGAAACAGTCAAGCAGTTTTAATTACGACAAATATGGTACAGAGCATTGATCTCATAGCTGAGTTCATCGATTCAATTCTTGGACGCCGTGAAATTTTCAATTTATTGTGACTGTGTTTTTGTGTCAAATTTTAAAGCACATAATATTACCAGTGACAACACGTGCTTAATAAATTGAACTTTACTGGAATGCAAACACTAGAATAGATTTAAAACATTTGTTAAATGGTTTCTATTAGAAAATTATCAGAGAGGTTCTACAAACATTTTTCCTGATTTGACACATAGGATATTAGCTACGGGGTCGAATTCTTTATAAAATTTAATGCTTTTTATAAGGAGATTTCAAACCGGTACTCTTTTTAGCGCATTTTCTCATTTATGGAAAAAATGCACTATTGTGCTCGCCACGTCCGTCCGTCTGTCTGTCTGTCTGTCTGTCTGAATGTCCGTGATCTCAAGTTTTTGTCGACGAGAAAATGCCCTTTCTGTCACTCACTGCAGTGAGTACTGAGTTATATTTTTTCTGAATTTAAAGAATTTTGATGCAAACATTTTATACAATAGTATTTTCAGATATCACCGGCCCTCTTTCTTGCGGTCGTCCTCGCACTTCTACCACTACAGTCCCCTCCTTCCCTCGCGTGCGTATAAAAATAAACCCCAGAGAAAAAAATATAACTCAGTACTCACTGCAGTGAGTGACAGAGAGCGCATTTTCTCAAAATCAACGAAAACGTGAAGTCACGGACAGACGGACGGACGGACGGACGGACATAACGAGCACAAAAGCGCCTTTTTCCATAAATGAGAAAATGCGCTGAAACAGACCGGACTTGCTAAGCAATGGTTCTTACTTGGACTGGAAGTCGGCGACCATGTCACGACGCTCGCTGATCTTGGAGGAGCCATCGAGTCTCATGTATTTGTGCTGCCGGTGCCGCATGTAATCCTAAACAAAAAGTAATATTAATATAACTTAAATCGCGGATAAAATAATCTACATTAAAGTGGCTTCCAATTCTGTCCGACTGCAAATACCATCAGATAAAGTATATTTTGCTGCTAAGCACTCACAATTTTGAGAAGCAGAACATCAGAAGTAAGCATAATATATCTGAAGTTAAACTAAGCAGAAACATTTTAATTTCAGCATAACATTTGAGTTCAATGTTACATGAAAAAAATTGAGCTTAATCATGATTTTGGACAAGATGTTTCTAATAAATTTAGGACATTTTTAATAGACAGTGAGAGGTTATAAAGAGGGGCACCTCGAGCAGGTTGATCATCTTGGTCATCTGAGAGTAGATAAGGACGCGGTTGCCTGCTGCCTTCATGCGACTCAGCAGCGAGTCCAACACGAACAACTTGCCCGCGTCCATCATGAGCGAGTGCTTGTCTGCTCACGGTACGGCAAGATTTAAATATATTTGCATGATTTAAGCTTGTGCAAGATTTAAATATATTTGCATGATTTAAGCTTGTGCAAGATTTAAATATATTTGCAAGATTTAAGGTGGTGCAAGATATGAATATATTTGCAAGACTTGAGCTTGTGCAAGATTTTAAATATATTTGCAAGATTTAAGGTAGTGCAAGATATAAATATATTCGGAAGGTTTAAGGTTTTGCAAGATTTAAATACATTTGCAAAATTTAAGTTTGTGCAAGATTTAAATTAAATATGACGGACAATGTTTTTGCATATGCGAGTAGTAGAAGCTTTGCCTACAGTCCATTAACAGACGTCGATGATATTCAATCTTAAAATCCTGGTAACACACGTTACCGCCAGTTTATAACAATACAGATAATTGCATACGAATTAAAGATACAAATTTGGAAAACTTACATACAAGTTCATTATTTCGTACAGAATGATACTTCTTTCAGGCTTAGTATAATAAATTGTGATGAAGGCTAGAAACAATTAAAGTTTTTGTGTCACTTCGCCGGACTGGAGGCAGCTTTGAAATTTGTTGCTCAGGATTAAGAGAAATTTCTATTTAAAATAGCTTCTCCGTCTCTCGTATACACCAGATACGGGACTTTTGTTTCACTTTTGCTTGTGCCCAGTAAGTAGTAAAAATTATTTACATATTTCGATCATAGGATGATAAAGTTAAAAAAATGATAATAGACTGATAATACAAGTACTTATGCCCCGATATGTGGTGTGGGTATCGTGGTTATGCTCTCAAATAGCCGTTATATATTCACGTCGCTAACTCGCTATGTTACTCAAGACACAATTCTCCACAAATTAATAATAAAGCAATAGATAAACCGACCAGGAATGATAACGTGGTTCCAGTCCGCGCCTGTCTCGGATGTGAGAGCGTCTAGCCCGCCCCTCTCAGGCGCCTGCATCGGGCAAGGCGTCTCTAGGCTGATGTCTCCCATAGATGCTCTTTCCATCTGTCACGGAAATTCATTATATAAATGATCATTTAGTGCGATATTTAAAGGTGTAATTAAGGTCACACCGCATATAATCTAGCTGATCATGTCACACAAGAATAATCTATGAATTGAAGTGTGCGCGTTGCAAAAAAGTTCTTACGACGTAGCGCTGACCTCAAGCATCGTTGCTTTACGACTGGCAAATGAATAAGGGTAATGGCATAGCATATGTTGTGCATAGCAAGAGGGTAATAACATAGCAAGAGGGTAATGGCATAGCATATGTTGTGCATAGCAAAAGGGTAATGGTATAGCATATGTTGTGCATAGCAAGAGGGTAATGGTATAGCATAGCAAGAGGGTAATGGTATAGCATAGCAAGAGGGTAATGGTATAGCATAGCAAGAAGGTAATAGCATAGCAAGAGGGTAATGGTATAGCATATGTTGTGCATAGCAAGAGGGTAATGGTATAGCATAGCAAGAGGATAATGGTATAGCATAGCAAGAGGGTAATGGTATAGCATAGCAAGAGGGTAATGGTATAGCATAGCAAGAAGGTAATAGCATAGCAAGAGGGTAATGGTATAGCATATGTTGTGCATAGCAAGAGGGTAATGGTATAGCATAGCAAGAGGGTAATGGTATAGCATAGCAAGAGGGTACTGACATAGCATATGTTGTGCATAGCAAGAGGGTAATGGCATAGCATAGGTTTCGATAAAAATCTATTTTACCAATTAATTCATGAGATGGCGGAATAGAACTTCACATTACCATATTAACTGAGTTAAATGTCCACACAAGTCAGTTAACTAAGGTATGAAATCGACTGCGTGTTTGTGAGGGTGCAAGCTTCTGGATTTCGTTCACCGGCTCAATCCCAAATTGTCATACCTATGTAAATAAATAGGCTTCTTCAACCGATACAAAATTAATCAAAAAGAGGTCTACGGCCGGTTTAAGGTTGCAGCTAATTCTTTATAGAAGGAATTAAATTATTAAATCTAGTATGCAAATGAAACTCACAGTTAAAAAAGTATAACTCAGTACAGAGAGCGCATTTATATAACTAATATATAATATAACTCAGTGAGTGACAGAGAGCGCATTTTCTCGTCGACGAAAACGTGAAGTCACGGACGGACAGACAGACGGACGGACGGACGTACAGACGGACATGGCGAGCACATGATTTTTTTTTCATAAATGAGAAAATGCGCTAAAATGGATTGATTACATAAAGTGAAGTTATATCGAGAGATATGAAGGGAAATGAAGCATGACACCCGTTAAACATTAGAGTGCTATTTTCCAAGAGGTTAGTGAAAAATTAAATCAAGTTCAAATAGAATTCAAATATGAAATTCTATTCAATAATTGACCAGATCAATAACACAGAGCACCTGTTGCACGTGCGCGACGCCGCGCTGCAGCATTTGCAGCGCCAGGGGCGGCCTGAGAGGCGCGGCGCTCACGCATGCGTGCTGGTCGTAGCTGTACAGGCGCCGGCCACTGCACATCACCTGCAACAGAAGTGAGATAACTATAATTTCAGACGCTCACTATCCTAAAAAAATTTAGAGTCGCCCCAGCTTCTGGTAACCCAAATCAGAAGCTGAGGCGTCTGGCACTGCACATCACCTGCAACATAAGTATGATGACTATAATTTCAGCAGCTCACTACCCTAACACAATTTAGAGTCGCCCCAGCTTCTGGTAATCCAAATCAAAAGCTGAGGCGTCTGCAAATTTTCACTGGGTATAAGCCAAACTAGTGCGGGTTACTTTATGCAAAACTAACACGTTAACTCGACGTTACTCGGGACAGGTCATTCCTGTAATTTGATAATTTCTTTACCCCAAATACATAGTTTGGAAACTAATTACGTTAGTTGAAGAAGGACCCTTTCGAACTCGCATTCAGTATGGAATTCCTGCTAAAATTTCGCTTTTAAATTTAATTTAAACTTCAAATTTTCATTTTCTGAATGAAATAAGCATTTACCAAATAATAAATCTCGCCTTATTTTTTCCATGTCTCTCGATTCTACCAATAAAAAGTAAAGTTTTATTTTGATGTACTTATCCCGACACTAGAGATATCTTGTATACGCTCCTATATTATCACGGTGTCAGGCTTCAAAGACGTATGCAAATATTAATTGCATCGGAATAATCTATAACTAAATAAAACCGAAACCAGCATTATTTCAGGAGGTCAATTAAAATTATTAAGAGATTTAGTTGATTAATCACTCACGAGATCAGTTACTGATTAGTTAATTAGTTAGTTTAGTAGCCACATGTTTACCAGCGCTTCAGCTATTTAGCTATCTCGCACCGAAAGTCAGAATGAACATCACCATAGAGGTGGAAGGTCTCAATATCGAACGTTTCTCAAAACCCGCCATAAGTCCCCCCTGAGGGGAGTCAGTGATTAATTGATTTACATCTTAATTAAGATTAATTGAATATCTAAATTGATTCCTTATTACTTGATTAATTAATTACATCATATTTAATAGTAATTCCTTAGTACCTTAGGGCAAGTTTGTGCCAGGAACGCGGGCAGCGAAGTGGGCTCACATGCGCGGGTTACGGGCAAACGGGGAATGAACGGGCGCGCTGGGACGTCCTCTTCTCCTGAAGGGGACGTGGGACATTCGGACGTACGAACTCCACACGTCTGGGTACGTCAGAATACATCCGAGACGTTAGCAATAAGACGGGCCAGAGCAACAAGATCGACGTTTTAATGTCTTGGATTGGACATTGGAGTTAGAGCAATTTCTACTGGAAAACGTTGCTAATTTTTTAAGTTTTCTACCAATAACAGTACCATCTAAGGCTTAGAAAATACTCTTCTAACTCTAGGCGTAATCATATTCTAAACATAGAAATTGTTATTTTCAAAATCTATCCATGAATTATAAGAAAATAAATTCTATTATATAAATATCAACTGCCTGTTCAAGGTTATGCTTGCCTTAAACAGAAATGACAATAAGCATCCCATTAAACTTAAGAACACACCATATTTTGTACAATTTTTTCAAAGTCACATTGCAATTCGCTAACCTTGGATGGCGATTTTAACCTCGGGGATTTTTTCGGCGAAGAAACCGCGGATTTTGTGGGCGAGTTCGAGGACTGGGAGGCCACAGACGATGAGGCCACAGGCGATGAGGCCACAGACGACGTATCTTTGCTCCGGGAAGGCAGGCTTCCTGAGGCATCAAGGCGAGACGAGATATCGTCTTCAGGTTCTAATTTCCCAGCGACGCCGCTGCTAACTTCTTCTATTCGAGGCTTGTTGCGCTTGTTTAGTCTGTGGACAAAGAGAACATTTAGCATTTGCTATATCTTAATAACACCATTCACAGTATTTATGGCATACTATATATTATAATATGGCATTACATTTAATGCATATTAAAACAAAAACGTTTAATGCTATAGGTGACGAGGCAGCTAATTTCATATAGCTAAGACTGATCAACAACAAGTGTTACGGCTATTTTTTTCTTTAACAATACTCATGTAATTCTCCTTGGAAGATATATGTTGTTATTAAATAAAATGCAACTTTTCCTTAGACTTTTCAACTTCTGACCAAAAAATCAATGAACGATCGTCCATTTCATAAGATACACATAATAAATGCGTAACAATAATTTATTACAATTATAACTACAATACAATAAATAATAATAAAATTATAACCGAGATAAGAAATAGATAACGAATTAGAATGCAAAAGCAGCATAAAGCATACCTCATGAGTCGGTGCGCGGACGTTTCAGGCACGCTCCTGACGACGTGGTCGACGAAGGCATAGAAGGGCGACGTGTGTGTACAGAAGACGAGCGACCGCAACACGTCACCACTCATGTCATGGCCGGGGAGTATGAGAGACCCGTTATTTAAAAATGATTTCCTTGCAGAAGAAGAACTTCCAGACGACAAATATGAACAGTTTCCATCTGAGAGCGAATGGTGTGATGAAGCATGCCATCGTTGCATGTGATGAGAGATATGGAGTGTGTGGTGATGGTAGTGATGCAGCAGCCGCCATGTGGTTACAACATCACCAACCAATAGTAGACAAGCCTCTGCAACACTCACACCACACAGCGCAGCGAACCACCAACTAGTTAACCATACCGCACCACCATCCTGGTTACTGGCCGCATCACCTGTGGTGGGTAAATATTATGGAGAAATTAATCTTGTAAAAATATTAATCTTGTAATCTTATCTTGTAATCTAGAGAAATTAATCTGTAATCTTGTAATCTTGATGACATTAATTATGACGGAAAATTTCTTGAGTGCGATTCTACATGATAGGTATAAATGAACCATATGTCAATGTTAATATATAAAGCAGGTAGAAGCATGAATTTTCTTTATATTAACTAGCGCACGAGAGTATAGCTGCGTATGGACGTGGTGAGGGCAGAAGGGTGATAGGAAGGCAGGCACGAGGGGCGGCCCGTCCAGGGCGACGTGGTAGAGCAGCCTGGGCACGAGGGCTGCGAGAGGGACGCTCCAGAGGGAAGATTGCACCTCCCGACGCTCCAGCAGCTCAGGGTGGTTGCAGACCTGAGACAAATGCCCGATATTAAATACACATAAAAATACAGGTTTATTTACAGTAATTTTATAGATATACAGTAAAAAACATAGGTCTAGTTGGTGTAATTGAATAGAAATACGATAAAAAAACACAGGTCTAGTTGGTGTAATTGAATAGAAATACGGTAAAAAACACAGGTCTATATATATAGTCAGTGTAATTGAATAGACATATGGTAAAAAACACAGGTCTAGTTGGAGTATTGAATAATCATACGGTAAAAAACATAGGTCTAGTTAGTGTAATTGTAATTGAATAGAAATACGGTAAAATGACAGGTTTATATATATATAGTCAGTGTAATTGAATAGACACATGGTAAAAAACATTAGGTCTAGTTAGAGTAATTGAATAGATATACGGTACAGTATAAACACAGGTCTAGTTAGTGTAATTGAATAGATATACGGTAAAAAACACAGGTCTAGTTAGTGTAATGAATAATCATATGATAAAAAACATAGGTCTAGTTAGTGTAAATCATCGATCGTTACATCAAATAAATACATCAATCACTAATCTTCAGTTGAAAAATTGAACATGTGTCGCTATATTCAAAATAGGCAGTAAATTTTGACTAAAGTTTTCAAGAAGTAGCATGTTTATACCAGGAATTGTTCAAGTTCGTGTTCTAATGAACAAGTTATATTGATAATATCTATTCATCGAAAAAAATATATTTAATATATCAAGAAGTGTCAATATATCAATCAATTTACTAACTCGGAAATATCTACTACATAAATACTTCCACTATATCGAAAACAAATCATAACTTGAAAATATGAAATATATATATAAAATATTCACTGTACTTAATATAGACTTATTTCATTTGCGGTAGCCGAGAAAATGTGCAATATATTTAAAATATTTAATGTACTTAATATAGATTAATTTAATTAGCGGTAGCCGAGGAACTATGTAATATATTTAATATATTTAATATAGATTAATCTCATTGAAATTAATCTATAAAAATATGTAATATATTTAAAATATTTAATGTACTTAATATAGACTTATTTCGTTTGTGGTAGCCCACCTTCCTGAACTGCATGACGAGGTTCATGAGGGAGTTGGTGACGGAGGCGGGGGTGGTGGCCGAGCCTGAGGTTGAGTGCAGCAGTTCATCGATGCTGATTTTGTTCTTAAGGCCAGAGTACAGGAACTTCTGGCGCAGCGTCAGCGGGCAGTACACCATGATCTGTTATATAGTAAAATAAGGGTGATCGTTGATCTGTTATATAGTAAAATATGGGTGATCGTTGATCTGGTACACAGTAAAATAAGGGTGATCGTTGATCTGTTACACAGTAAAATAAGGGTGATCGTTGATCTGGTACACAGTAAAATAAGGGTGATCGTTGATCTGGTACACAGTAAAATAAGGTTGATCGTTGATCTGGTACACAGAAAAATAAGGTCAATCATTGATCTGTTACACAGTAAAATAAGGTTGAACTATGATTTGTTACACAGCACATTTAGGCACAACCATGATCTATTACACAGTAGAAATAGGCAAAACAATTTTTTATAACACAGTAGATGAATTCTTTAAGTTGAAGAATTTGATCTAGTATTATAAAATTTAAAATACAAAAGAAAAAAATGGGAAGTCATCCGCCGAGCGCAGAATTTCGGCGGACGCATTAACTGAGTTAAGAAAATTCAACATCCCGAATATAATAGTAAAGAATTTTGAATTGACAGTAAAATTTCAGAAAAATATACATAAATGAAAGAGAGCAAACCTCCTTCCCTCTGGTGCAAGGGCGATCGCTGCAAATCTCTCACCTCAATTTTGTCGGTAAGCTCGTTTTCCACTTCGGTTTTGATGCGCCGAAGCATGAACGGTTTCAGGATGGTGTGCAGTCGGTTTAAATGTTCTGTGTAATAATTTCACATTATAAAAATTTGTGAGTGTAATTAAAAAAAATTTTTAACAGACCTTCATTGACATTAATATGGTTTTAATCCGTGCTGCATGACCTATATTCGCTCATATTTTCTCATTAACGGGATGTCCGCAGATTTTCTAAGCAATAATATCTTTGATTTTCTCATTACTAACATTGCCTGAAATACGTTATTCTCATTACTGACATAACCAAAAATATTTTCATTAAACACCTCAAATATTCTCATCAATCACCTCAAATATTGTCATTAATAACCTCAAATATTCTCATTAATAACTTTAGTTAAAGCCCCCTCCCCTCACATTTTTTCATTAGTAACATGTCACTAATTAGCAAATATAAGGTGACCGTGTTAATGAAAAAGCATGTCACAAAACGCCCTTTCGTCTCAGATTTGCTCATTAGTAACATGTGACTAAACGCACTTTCATCGACATGAGTCCGGTTCTCGGCCCGTGTTAATGAAAATTAATGAGAAAGCATGTGACAAAACGCACTTTCATCGACATGAGTCCGGTTCTCGGCCCGTGTTAATGATAATTAATGAGAAAGCATGTGACTAAACGCACTTTCATCGACATGAGTCCGGTTCTCGGCGTGGCCCTCGATGTCCTTGCTGAACCACTCGTTGAACCACTGGTGCGAGTCAAACAGCGCGGGCATAATGAAGTGCAGCAGCGCCCACAGCTCGGCCATGGTGTTCTGGATGGGCGTCCCCGACAGCAGCAGGCGATTCCGGCAGCTGAAGCCCAGTAATAACTTCCAGCGCTGGCTGAGAACAACACAAAAAATAATATAACTCAGTACTCACTGCAGTGAGTGACAGAGAGCGTATTTTATCGTCGACGAAAACGTGAGGTCACGGACGGACAGACAGACGGACAGACAGACAGACGGACAGACAGACAGACGGACGGACGGACAGACGGACAGACGGACGGGCTGACATGGCGAGCACAATAGCGCCTTTTTTCCATAAATGAGAGAATGCGCTAATAATCAATCTACCTAAGCAATATTGACAGCAGAAAAATCATTTTATCAATGATAAATTAGAGACGCTGCATTATAATTAGTTATTTATTTAAGAATGAATTACTTATAGACATCGCATCAATCACTCGGATGGATGAGTGAGGCTTTGTCAAAATAGCGATGCACTTCTAGTTCTACTTCGGGTCATACTAACCCAGTTTGACCTAGCAAAAGAACGTATCGGTGCTACGCGCTGAAAGCGTCACAAATTGGACAATTTGGCTCCTTCATTTTTCTGAGAGAGATTTTTCTTTGCTTCGTTCATTCAAGAAATAAATTTCCCCTTGATCGAAGAATTTCCCCTTGAATAAATTTCCCCCAAAACATAAAAAACATTCCTAAAAAACATAAAAAACTCCCAAAAACATAAAAAACATTCCTCCAAACATAAACTTTCATAAGTTCATTACATGACTTTCCAATATTGGTCCGAGCGCTTGGTCTGTAATTTGTGATATTGCTGCAGTGCATATCGCATATTATCTTGAACAATAAGCTATCCTTCAAATCATCTGATTTCTACTACGTGCATCAGGCAGTTCAAGAATCCCAAATCAGATCACAAAAAAGTACAAATCGATAGGTGAAAATTTTCGAAGCATTTATTTGAAGTTCGTGCTGGAGGGCAAGCCTTCGTTCTTATTTCTTCTCTTTGTTTTTCTATAGATTTTTTTCGCCAAATATCTTGGTTCATTCCGCATTTCAAAACAGAACCATTTGTCCAAAAATCGTATGTTGCTCGCGCTCGAAACTTTTTTCACGTGAATTGACATTTGAGTTATTTGAGTTAATTGTATAATTAATACTCTTGATTTGAAAACATATTCGATATAATGTTACTTGTTGATGGTCTTGATGGCCTGCGCCTCGTCAAGGACCATGTACCATGTTACCATCAAGGACCATGTACATTTTACATGATGGTACCTGTTGATGCTCTTGATGGCCTGTGCCTCATCAAGGACCAAGCACATTTTACATGATGGTACCTGTTGATGCTCTTTGGACCATGCACATTTTACATGATGGTACCTGTTGATGCTCTTGATGGCCTGTGCCTCATCATGGACCATGCACATTTTACATGATGGTACCTGTTGATGCTCTTGATGGCCTGAGCCTCATCAAGGACCATGTAGTTCCACTTGAGTCTGTTGAGGAATTTGAAGTCCTGGATGACGATGTGGTAGCTGGTGACGACCACATGGAAGCTCGCGGCCTTGCGGTCGCCGCAGTTACGCAAGTCAAAAAACTTACGCAGACTCTTGCGCTCCTCAGGCGTGCCCCAGTACGGCACCACCTGCGGTAATTACCAGGAACACATTAAAACTAAAAAATAATTATTTATTAACAATAACTCAATATTCAATAACAATATTCATTAACAATAATTATTTTATGTGTCGTAATATAAGCTAATAAAATTTATCTACATAGTTGGGTGAATAACATGAATTGATTCAATGTACCGTAAAATAGACAATAAAAATGTTTTACATTTCTGACCAGGGGATCAACTAAAAGGACAGTAAAAAAACTCAAATTTTACAAAGTACGTTTCGAGTGTACGTACAGTTGTACCGTTGACAGTTGTACAGTCACACACGTAACTACGTACAGAACAATTCTGAAGAAAATAACAAGAAAACAAACCTTGAACTCCGGCACGAAGCGGTTGATCTCAGCGGTCCAGTTGTGTAGGGTAGAGGCTGGCGTCACGATGAGAAAAGGGCCCCAGCTGTCTGTAAAGTCAATTAAAATAGATTTATTTCTATTGAAAATCCTATCCCATTCATATTATTATAAAATTTATCAACTAATACTGCCTACAATTTCAAGTGTCTTCTTAAGTGAGTTTGAATATTAATTTAATGCTAATTCTCACACAGTTGTTATACTTATACACACACTTATTCACAGTTCAAAATAAACTATTAATAAATTCATTCCAAATTTTCGCCATCTAGGAGCATCAGTTCCCAATACGCTCACAAGGAACTCCTTGTACAGAAGAAAAAACAAATATGATACAATTTTTATTAATATTTTCATTTATTTCCATTGCTCAGTAGTATTTTCAATTACATCATTATTATCGGTAGTACCTCCTCAGTGTTCGCTTCGCCTTTTAATTTGTTCATACTTTTGTCACCATCATCCCACCACACTCATGTCACCATCATCCCACCACACTCATGTCACCATCATCCCACCACACTCATGTCACCATCATGTCACCATCATCCCACCACACTCATGTCACCATCATCCCACCACACTCGTGTCACCATCATCCCACCACACTCGTGTCACCACCATCCCACCACACTCATGTCACCATCATGTCACCACACTCATGTCACCATCATGTCACCACACTCATGTCACCATCATGTCACCACACTCATGTCACCATCATCCCACCATACTCATGTCACCATCATGTCACCATCATGTCACCACACTCGTGTCACCACCATCCCACCACACTCATGTCACCACCATCCCACCACACTCATGTCACCATCATCCCACCATACTCATGTCACCATCATGTCACCATCATGTCACCACACTCGTGTCACCACCATCCTCCCACACTCATGTCACCACCATCCCACCACACTCATGTCACCATCAGCTCACCACACTCGTGTCACCACCATCCTCCCACACTCATGTCACCACCATCCCACCACACTCATGTCTCCATCATGTAACAATCATGTCACCACACTCATGTCACCATCATGTCACCACACTCATGTCACCATCATGTCACCATCATGTCACCATCAGCTCACCATCATGTCACCATCAGCTCACCACACTCGTGTCACCATCAGCCCACCACACTCATGTCACCATCATGTCACCAACATGTCACCATCATGTCACCAACATGTCACCATCATGTCACCATCATGTAGCCAACATGTCACCATCATGTCACCATCATGTCACCATCAGCTCACCACCCTCATGTCACCATCAGCCCACCACACTCACGTCACCATCATGTCACCAACATGTCACCATCATGTCATCATCATGTCACCATCATGTCACCATCATGTCACCATCATGTCACCATCAGCTCACCATACTCCTCGCAAATATGAGCAAGGAAGGCGATCGCCTGGACCGTCTTGCCCAAGCCCATCTCGTCTGCCAAGATGCCGTTGATGCCCTGAAGTAATCAATCATTTTAAATAAACAAATTCTCTTAATTTCTGGCATCATTTGCTGTAATTTTTATAGAAGTACTATCACAACACTTTCTGTAATTTATTTTTAAAATCAGGCAATAATTTATTCCTCATTATTCAAATCATCATTACGGTTTTTACAAATTTAGATTTAATTTGAAAACAATGCCACAAACCGGGTAATCTGTGAAAAATAGTCAATTTGTCTACATGACCTCAAACTAGAAGATAGCACCAAGAATGGGCTAGCGTCCGCCTACATCATTCCTAAAATTTAAAGAACTTACTAATCTAAAAAATGCACAAGCCAAGAATTTGACACTCTCATAGAAGTTTATTAAAAGCTCTATCGGTTACGTCCAACAATGAATATGGTTGACAAGCAACATTAAGCTTACTCCTGTATTGTAAAAATAAAACTCACGAAGTAATAAAGATTAGCGATCCAGTTCATGCCCTTAAGTTGGTATGACTTTAGCTGCCCCATGAAAATTTCAGGCTGCATGAACTCCTTCTCTCCGGAGCCGCCGCCCCCCTGGCGACTTTGGTCATATTTGCTCATCAGAGAGCGCTGAGACCGGACGGCTTCCTGTGCCGTGTGAAGAGCTTGTCGCTTCAGGGCTTCACTGTCGACACAATCATTGAATGATTAGTGTAACACAATTTGTGCAGAATTAGTGACAGGCCTTTTTCAGACAAAAATTCAGATAGTTTTTTGTTTTTGTTTTGCTACAATTATTTTTGTACACTGTACACTACGGTGGAACGATTTCTCAACATTTTGGAGTTCGCTTTCACAATATAGTGCGGAAAAGTTGTGAACGTGCAAGAAAACGATGTGTGCAAAATTTTAAACCACTTTTATGGTTGCTTTTTTCATGATTTCATGATCGTTTGACAATATGAAAAATGATAATAAATAATATATAAATAATAACAAAATATTAGATTATATACTAAAATACTATTTGTTTAAATTATCGTTAGTTCTGAGAGAAAAATGAAAGCCTTACTGGGGCAAAAAAAAAATCAATAAACCGTATATTTATTTGGAATCCGTGAAAAAATCTGCTTAAAATATAAATGTAATCGATATTTCCAAGCAAATTAAGCGGCAGTAGCAGCCAAAAATTTTTTGAAGAAATGAAGAAGCACGAAGTTCATTTGAGTCGTCCAACAACATAATAAAAAACAATCTGAGATATCGCACCAGTCGTAGTCTTCGTCAGCCAGTGAAACTGCAGAAGCAGCGGCGGCGGCAGCAGGAGTCAGGTCCCCAGCCGAAGTCGGTCCCCCAGCGAGGGTAAGTCCCTCTGCAGGAGTCGAGCCCCCAACATTAGGGGCGTCCTCAAGCTGCTTGAGTATTTCCGTGCTGGTGCCGTCGTCGGGGCGGCCTGATATTTTGTCTCGCATGAAGTGCGCGTAGAGCTCCGGCAGCGTGATGAGGAAGTTTACCTTGCGCTGCTGTCGCTTTGCCTGAACAGCGAAACTCATTTTAGGTATTGCGAAATTTTACTTTGCGCTGCAGGCATGAAGAAAAAGTCATTTTAAATTAGTTGACTGTTTGGTGTTGGATATAGTAATTCAAACTGAATAACCTTTAACATCAACAATTTTTTTAAGTGCAAAACGGCTTTATTTTTTGACTCGAGACATATACAATTCTCACCATGCTCAGTACATGGTAACCTAGAAACTTCTGTCGGCGAAGCTCCAATATTTCGAATAATTTTTGACGATAAATTTTATACTATGACTAATTTGAAATTTTGAAACTGTTTTAACAAGCACCGATACTAAACATATACGGTATGACAAAGTTCCCTCGTCAGAGTTTTGCCAATAGTAACTGTGCAAATCTTGAAAAATTGTTAAGATTCGATAATTCCAGTTTGGCAATAAAAATTTAAGTTTGCATTAACTAAAATATACAAATAAAGTCAAGTATCTATTACCTCCATGATTTCTTTATCCATCTTTCGCTGTTCTTCCGCTTCTTTCTCTGCCCGCTTGTTTTGCTCTTTGATGATGCGGTCAAACTTTCTCCACTCGTTCTGCATGCTGCGACTCAGGCGCTTCAGTAGCCACACTTTCTCCTTCACAATTTTCTGGCTCTGCATTCACGGGAAAACAATTTAGTGTCAAATTTATAACGTAAAATCTGAAGGAGTTTAGAGGTATGGAATAAATATGCAGGACTGCAACAAGTAATAAGTAGTACTGAGCCAAGCTTAAATATACCCTACAAAATTCTTTGATATGTGATTGGTTTAATATGATGAATAATATGCACTAGTGAAAACTATTTGTTAGATATAGCAAAGCTGCCGAATAAAAATTCTGTTGTTAAGCACGTTGAGTTTCAACGTTGTTATTAATGGAAGGCTGAAAGTTTGACATACGTAATTATTGTTTTTGAATTTATTATTACATTCTTAAATGCAAACTGCAATCTTGGTGATAAGATGGATAAAATTAATCAAGTCTCAAAACGAGAATAATTTTTATTTAAGCTGAATCATACATGCAATTAACCACGCATATACAGTATCATAAGCTTGAATAATTTAAATTTATAATTCTCTTTAAATGCATTAATCTTTACATGAATAAATAAATGAACAAAAAAATTTGATATATATACAAAATGCAATGAAAATATTTTTGGAACTCGATTAAAGATTATACTATAAATAAAATCTATGCACAACAATTGCGTGTCAAAAGAAGACGTGATTCTATATACCGTATATAAACAAACAGCATCACGTGTAGAGAAGCTACCTGCAAGGCCTTGTGTCGGTAGGTCTTGGTAGCAGCTGTAGCGATCCTCTTACAGCTGTGCAGCATCTCCTTGTGAGCCGCAGCCCGCGTGCGCTGTGACCGCACCACCTCCTTGCGTGTCATCAGCAGCCACAGCTTGTGACGCCGCATTGCGAGCGCCTGACAAAACGTGGTGGGTTAATTTATTATATACATATTATTATAATGTACCTAGTATGTTAAACAATATTATAGCATCTTCTTAGTGGGCCCTTGCGAGTCATCAGCAGCCACAGCTTGTGGCTGCCGCATTGCGAGCGCCTGACATAACATGGTGCGTTAATTTATTATTTACATATTATTATAATGTACCTAGTATGTTAAACACTATTATAGCATCTTCTTAATGGCTGCGTTTTGCATCCTCTGCAACCAAACAAAGTTCTTGCTATTAGAATTATATTTGAATGTATTATTGATTATATTATTACTATTATTTTATGTACATAATATACTATACAAGAAGTACGTACCAAATATTGCATTGCAATAATTTCAAAACCAGAGGAAACAAACTATTATACGCAAGTGATTTTGCATGAAGTATTAAAACTTAAGCACAGCATTAGCAGATATGCCGACATTACTTTTTTACTAGTGACTAATATTCACATGATTTTGAAACCTCTAGCGAGTCCCATTTAAAAATGTGTAATATTAGCGAAATTTCATTAAAAACCGTAAAAATATCACAATTATTTCAAAGTGAAGGAACCATCCACCACAACACAAGTCAAGGATAACTAACGACACAAAAACTAAACACAATAATCTTTACACTGGAAATCCATTATCCTGATATTAAACTACTAACACCTTTGATAACACATCTACGTAATTTAAGCAAGTGGGAGTCAGAACTTTAGGCAAGAATGATATGCATGGAAATGGTGCCCTTACAGTGCCTAAACCGCAGTCCTAACCTAGATGGAAATTTCATCAAAACCTTATTGTTGACTAAAAAAATTATATTAGGTATGCTAGAGATCCATGCAAAATTATCAAACTAGAAATACTAGAAAATAGGGGAAATTTGATCATTTGATGATTGCAAGCACAGGAATATAACCATTAATATAATTACGCCATTAACCATTACTATTATATATAATTACTTTTCCAACTCCAATAAAATTTAGAAGTTAATTGCTACAATATATTTGTATCATCATTAAACAGACTATTTTTTTCAACCCAAAGCAAATCCTTATTCCTTACCATTTAAAATACATATCACTAACCTGAGCATCAAGTTTTTTTCCTTTCTTCTCTTTCTTATAAGGAGCCCGGGTTCTGATCTTAGAGATGTCTTCATCCGCAAGAGATTCTTCTCCATCATAGTCCATTCCCAGCAAGTTCTCAGAGTTCTGGCAATAACAAATGATCAGTTAAACAAGAATAGCCAAAATCTTTAGTGAATTAAAAAAAATTGACGTATTTTCTAGGACAGAATAGAATAATTACTTAGTTTTTCATGTCTATTCATTACCAATTATTCGAGTTTGCATGTTAATAATTTACACCAGGATTCACAATAACATAATAGTAATGTAGAACTCATACACAAAATAAGGTCCTACAAATATAAGCTTACCATAGCTTACATTTCAATGTTATAAATTGACATGTTCTACTCACAGTATCTCTAGTTACCAGGTCTTTGCTATGTACAGCATTGATGACATGAAGCTAAATAAATCGTCTGATAATTAATCTATAAGCCTTAATAAATAAAATATTATTGGAGAAAAATTGGGTTCAAAATCGAAAAAAATGGACATCAATGAACACAAGCAGTCATTAATAGAATTATTTTTTACTAAATTTAAACAAAATTTAGTAAAAAAAACTCAACAAAAAAGTAACAAACAACAACAAACCTGAAACAAAAGGTAGGTAACAAAAATTAAAGTATATATAACCTCTGGTGGTGCCCAGGGAAGGTTACCTATACAATATATAGCACCTCTGCTGGTGCCCAGGGAAGGTTATATATTATAAGACAATGAAACCTGATCAAAGTTGGTGTCATCATCCTCTTCCTTGATCGCGGCCTCCATCACAAGAGAACCTGATGCAGGTCTTCTCTGGTCGACCTTTGAGCCGCCAACGGGCGCAGCACCATTAGAGGCTCCACGGCTGCCCTTGCTGCCAACAGAACTGCGCACCCTCCGAGAGCACGCCAAGTACCGCTGATTGTCATTATACCTGTCAATATTATTTCTTAGAAAATCTGGCAAATAAATCTCAAATCATTGTTATACATACCGGTATCAATTTTATTTGTTTAAAAAAATCTAGCAAGTAAATCTCAGGTGTTGATATAACTGTCAATTTCATTTGCTTAAAAAAATTTAGCAAATAAATCTCAGGTGATTGTTCTGCCTGTTAATTTTATTTGTTTCATAATATCTGGCAAACAAATCTCAGGCTGAGCCTGTCACATCTTTTCATCCATTGCAGTAAATATAAATTTTACTGGTAGCAGGAAGAAATCTAGCAAATATTTCTAAAGTTATTGCTGACATGTCAATTTCATTTGCATCAGATAATTGGGCATCAAAATCTTCATATTGAGGAAGTAAATTTGGCAAGTCAATTCCACATGATTGAAGTTTATTGATATTTCATTTGAAGAAGAAAATTAAACAAATAAATGCAAAAGATTGCTGTACTTCCTGATCTAACCCACAAACCAAAATTGCCGTTGCAATTGAAGAAGTAAGGTTGAAGCAATTTCAGAGTTTCTTGAGTTTGCAATAATCAGCTTCATTTTAAAACAAATGAAAACAGAAGACTGGCAGAAAAATACTGAAAAATCAAGTGAATATTTTTGCAGCAGCTGAATAAAGTGTAACCTGCTTTGACTAGAACAGCTCAAAAATCCTCTTGTCATCACAATTCATGGTATTAAAGGCTCAAAGGCTCTGAAAATACTTCAAAACCTCAAAGGTAAATAAGGTTAAATTTAAACATCAAGTTCTACCGGCAGCAGCACCCAACAATTTATCAATCCATAATATTTTCCAAACCTGCACATTTTTTTCAATATTCAGATCAATGGAATCATGAATTTCAAATGCTGACCTGTCAACGCTGGACAACAGACCAGCTCCGTAGTACAGAAAACCCCGCCCCTTGTAGGGGTTGTCCTCAACCAGCGGGTCTACAGATGGCATATCCTTCACACTCTGAATAAATGAATAAAATCCAACTTGAAAATAATGTGATATGAATAACTCACACGAATACTTTCTACCACATTATTAATAGTATATTTCTCACATCATACCACGGATCTAGCTCATAATGCTATTGAACTAGTAATCACAGATATACATGGAAAGGAAATTATTTTGCATGTACTGGTAGATCATAACCAAAAAGAAATTCTCCAAAATAGGAAGCATGGAGCTCAAAATCTTATGTACTGATTTGCAGGATTATCTCTAATCTAATTTATCTCACAAATGCCAAATTTCACGGCAGAAATTTTGAGAAGAACAAACAAAATAAAGCTATGTGTGAAATACATACTACCTACTACATCTGATAACATGCATTTTGGCTTCTTTTTATGTCTGGCCAACTTTACACCATTAAGCTTCATCAGCACTAGGTAGTCACTGCCAAACACACAAGATCAAGAAGCTATATATATGATCCAAATAAAATTGAATGAACCTAATGTTTCAAGCAATTCCTCGGAAACTAAGGGTTTGTCATCTAAATTTGAATTTAACAAGCAAATCTCATTTTAGAGTCATTTAATAGTTCCACTCTAACAATAGCATTATAATCACAATTGATATTAAAGCATTATTGAAGTAAATGATTTTCCACGTGAAATTTAAGAAAGATAAAGTACCCATTTTTGTGAGAAGTAACTGGCAGCATGGCTTTTCCTGATGAGGTGCTCTCTTATCATGGCATTTATTCGCATCTCTCTTCTTTCTTCTGGGGACAAGCTATGCTGTCTTTTAGGCCTGCAACCTCCCTCCCCTGGAATTCCATCTTCATCCCGTAGTGAGAAATTTTTCTCAATGCTCCTGTTTTCATCATTGTGGGCATCATCATCGTCATCATTGTCATCATCATCATCCTCGTCTTCCTCATCAGTATTTTCATCTGAATTTTCTGATGATTCTGCATCTTCATTTGAGCTTGCATCATTTTCAGACTCCTTATTTTGTATATCATTACTCTGGTTGTTGCTATTGAAGTTAAGTGGACCAGCCTCAGGTCTGAGACTGCCAGGCAAAAACATATTTCTCTCCTGAGGTTCACAACTTGAAACTTCACCAAACACATGGACATTGTCATCGAACAGTTGAGATTTATAATCAAAACCTTGTTTTCTTCGCTTTGCACTTGAATACAAATGAGAACTTGATGATTCCAAATAATTTGAATCTGAATCTGAATCCGATGAATGGCACAATGCATCGCACACCCATCGACGTTTCTTCTGAACACTGCTGAAGTTGTACAAGCAGGAAGCTTCTGTAAGTTTGTATAATGCATTAGAAGTCATGAACTGCTTTCTAATTTCAATTTTAGGTAGTGTGAGATTGCACTTGTTTTTAAAATTACAAGAAAATAAGTAATACAATAAGAGGAATAGGGAAAGCAAGTAATACTGGGGGATAAAAGAATTAAATTCATATGAATTAAGGGATTGAATCAATAAATTAACAATTGATATGAGTTTATTATGTATTAACACACAGAAAATAATAGCTTACAGCCAGTAGAATTACTTATAGTATCAGCTGTGAAAATATCAGAAATTACATATTGAACTCACTCTCAAGGGATGTTAGCTCTTTTCGAAGAAGCTGTGTTTCAGGGTCATCATCGTCTTCAGACAGAGAGTCGGAGTCGCTGGAAATAAAAAAATCATATCCAAGTTATTATAACTTACTCAAAACCAAACAATTCTCAACAAAAATATGTAGATAAGTTTACTTTAACTGAACTGCATTGCAATCAGGCATTCAGGCTTGGTTTCTAGCTATTTTTGGAACCACAAGACTCCAACCAGATGAGATAGGCATCTCCCATCTTATTATTAACAAAAGTGCATGATTGGGTATTGTATTTAAATTTACTAAAAATTTTTCACTTTGGAGTTGCAAGATCTAGGTATTAATTAGAAAAACTTCAATCCTAACCTAAGATGTGGATCATGGATGTGCTATACTTTAATGCTTGGTTTGGTAAAACTATAAAAAACTGGAAAATTGGGCAGAAAACCCAGGTAAATTTGGCAAAAATGCCTATGAATCTGGCTAATTTTATCTGGCCCAATGATTTTATCCTAATTTCTACTGTAAAAAAAAATAAGAAAAAAATGGCCTATTATTACCTGCACTTCTTGGAAGATGGAAATCACCTGTGAAACTTACATTTCTACCTGGGATTTTAAGAAAATTTAGCCCAATATTCCACATTGATAGCGGTAAAATACTACTCTTGCCTCTGGCCTCAGTAAAGTATATAATTGATTAGATGACTTGAAAATAGGTATAATTAGGGACTTCTGGGAATAAAAAGTGAACCCAATTACCCAAGGCATTGACAATTCAATTTTGGCTCAGAATCTTAGTATGTGGTATGGTCCACACTGGAACTAACAAAATCTACTTAATTCATTGAGGCCTTGAATGCCCTTGATTGAAGTTGATTCAAAGGGTGAATAATAATAATTCAATTAAATAAATAATAATTTAATTATAATTTTTACAGCATAGTGGCAAAGCAGAGAGTTTTTTAGATTCTCCCTCAAGTTCATTTTTGAGTCCTATAAGTAGACCAATAAAGTATCCTGGATACCAGCATTATCATACATAAGAAATTGGTTAAAATCTTGAGTAAATGAGGAAATTAGAAATGAACTGATTCTAAAAAAGCTCTGGTTTGCCACTATGTTTTACAGTGGCATGAAACTGAAATAATTCAATTATAATTTTTACAGTGGCATGAAACTGAAATACCTTATAGGCTGACTGATAATGTCTTCAACATAGTCCAGGAATGGGTCAAGCTTCAGACTTCTGTACAAGCTTTGAAGATGAATGGGCTCAGCCAATGCTCCACCATTGCTTAGCTGGGTTTGTGTTTGTACAGATCCAGAAATTTGTGATGCATGATTTTGGCTCGCCATGACGGAAATTTTCTATTGATAGGTTGAAAAGTCTTTCGGGGAATGAATATCGACAATGAAACAAATATATTTTAAAAACTTTGAATTGGAAACAAAATGAACATCCCAACGACAACAGCCGCAACAGGCAACATCCCCAAATACATTCCGGACCATCATAAACAAAACAACAAATTCCGGACTGGTGGAAAATTTAAAATCATGGTTGAACTAGTATAAGGATGACCCATGTGATGCTCATTTTTACAACACTTCTCTTTAACTTCACTTCTCGTTGTTTGTTTGTTTGTTTGTCTGCTACAAATCTTGTAATCGAAATTTAACACACTTCTACTTATCCTATCGATCTGAAATTTTGCACACTTGTGTAAAGTTGGAGACAATGCATGAATCAAATGTCAAAATAAATGATTTTAGAAATTTAAAAAAAAATTTCAATATTAAAAAAATTGAAAAAATAATTTGTCAGCTACAAATCTTATAACTGATATTTGACACACTATTACCTGTCTAATTGATCTGAAATTTTGCACACTTGTGTGAAGTCAGAGGCAATGCATGAATCAATTAATAGAATAAATAATTTTAAAAAAATTATATATTAAGAAAAATTTACATATTAAAAAAATTGAAAAATTAATTTTTTTAATATTCGAAAATTAAATGAGAAATTCATTGTACATCTGTAGGATTGGAGACACTGGATTCTTTGGAAGTGTTGTCTTTAAAAAGCACATTTTAAACGTATATTATTGCAGATATAGCTTGTGGTTCGCCTGTGACATCACTGATCTAAGTGACGTCACGGGCAGTGACCAATCATTGAAATTCGGTAATCCAGTCAACCAATCTGTCGTGTGAATGACGGGATTGTTTACGTTTTTCGATCTCAGTGACGTAACAAGAAAGCTAAACTGAAAGACGGATGTCCTCGTGCGTCAACCCTATATAGTTTAAGTTTTAACAATGTTTAAGGGGAACGTCTGGGACCAAAGGTCAAAATTTCGGCTTTTCCGGATTTTAGGCTCATCTTAAAGCTTACTTTCTGACGCATCGAACGGTACTAGAACCTTCTCTGTACGTTGATTTATGCGTTCGCGACAGATACCGTCCGTAAGGGGGGAGGTGTCCGGGTCCCTTCAGTAAAGTTAAGGTGGAAATTCCGGCCGGGCACCATGAAGGGGATCGTCTAATGTAAAGCGGCTAATTATGACATTCTCCAGTTCTTATACTCATCTTAAAGCTTATTTTCTGCCGCATCGAACGGTACTAAAACCATCTCTGTAGGTTGATTTATGCGTTCACGACAGATTCCGTAAGGGGGAAAGGGGGTGGGGGCCTTCAGTAATTCCAAAGGGGGAAATTAACTATAAAATGTGCTCTCCACTGAGTCCACTGACTCCACTGAGTCCACTCGGCTAGAGCTCAGTAACCTCACAGACAGCACGCGGGATGGTGTTTATTTAGTGGCTCTATGCACCTAAGACTGACTTTGAAGTGAGCTGACGCTTACTTTCGGTATCTAGGCTACTTTACGTGCCACGCGGCGGTTTTTTGCCTCTACTGAAAAGTTGCCAAAGCTGAAAACCTCTCTCACGGCAATCCTATCTCCTCCTACAGTTTTGGCGTTAGAGCAAAATTGGTGGTGCACGGCTGCGCTCCCCAATGAGAGATATACCGTTCGATTCGCAAAGAAAAGATCTTCCAAACGTCGCATACATTTTTCTAATTTCGTCATAGTTTGGATATCATAATGCAAAAGGGGGGGGGGGTAAAATCGAAAAATTTCGAAAATTTTACGAAAAATGCTCCCACACCCACAAAAATTATAATGTTACACAAGACAACGTCTTTCGTTATTGTTTGATGTAGTCGCCAGCCATCAGTGTGGCACACCGGCTAAGGAAAAAGTTAGCTTCGCTAATTAGCGGTTAGCGGATTAGCGGACTGTGTCCACCGCTGGATATATACATAGATTCGTTCAAATCTGTCCAGTAGTTTAGATAAAATTTCTTGATCGCTGCGAATTTGAGCACGTCATACAGCAGCGGATCTCGCTACTTAACTAGTTTATATTTATGAAAAGAGTGAGTCTAGAAAGAACCCGCTTCCGTTAGACAGCATTCATTTCCGGTAGGTCTCTCACAGCCCACTTCTGCCCATTCAAAGCTCACTCTCATACCATGATACCAGCCGCTGCTCCGGTAACATCTTGCATCATCACGTCAGCACCTACCAAGCCCACATTGCTGCCCCTGTAACGTTCATTGCAACTCGACGTGCAACTACACGTGCCTCTGTAACAACATCATCACGCCACGTGTATCTCATCACGCCACGTATATCTCATCACGCCACGTGCATCACATCACGCCTAATGCATCTCATCACGCTGAACGTGCACCGTTGGAAGAAGCCGACTGCCTCCAGTATTTACCTGACGTGGGAGCCGACTTGACCAGTCTGCCCCCTTGGTTTCCCGTGCGCTCTGCATAGCCGTGCCGCGTTGGGCGGCGTCTACCGTCGTACCCTATTGGAGCGCCTAATGACGAGTTCAACTAGAGTCTTGAAGTTCCTCGTGGAGACGTGATCACCCGAGGCTTGCCTGGGTCGAGCCATCGTGTTCCAGGCCCGGTGTCTGTGCCGCTTGGGGTTGTTCGTTAATGTATTAGGGCTTCCCCTGAAAGATATACGCGGCTCTCGTGAAGTTGGCGACTCGTGTTCCGTTTTGGGTAAAGGTCAACAGGTTTTAGAATTATCGCAGGTCGACTATTTGAATAAATGTTTTTTAGCTTCAAGTAGCCAATGAAGTAGGTAGTTGGTATTTGTATTTGTGGCTAAGTTTCTTGTCTAGATTGAATAAAGATTCGGGTTGAATTTTATTCTTGTGCCTTAGTAGGTTTTAGTGTATGCGTCCTCCCTCGTACCAGTAGCGTCTCCTGCCCGGGGACATTGAGCGTTTAGGCAGCTCTGTCGTAATTATTAGTAGTTACCTGCTCTCCCGTAACAACGCCTAGTGCTTCACATCACGCCTAGTGCATCTCATCACGCCTATTGCATCTCATCACGCCTAGTGCATCACATCACGCCTAGTGCATCTCGTCACACCTAGTGCATCTCATTACGCCTAGTGCATCTCATCACGCCTAGTCGTGACGACGTCTGCGTGGGGACCTCATTGAAGTATACATGTATACTCATGGCTTATACAAGGGTCCAGAAGGATTACTAGAATTTGAAAGAAGAACCAACACCAGGGGCCACGACTATGAACTAAAAAAAAACTGCGCTGCAACTTGTCCACGCGACAACATTTCTTCTCGCTTGGAATCACCGACATGTGGAACAGCCTCCCCGATGACATCGTTGACGCTCCGAGTATAAACGCGTTCAAGAACAGACTAGACAAAGCTATGGAAAAATATATGTTCAGACTTGAAATGCCTAACACTATATGTCCATATCGAACCCGGTGGAAGTCGAGTAGCTATTTCAAACTATCGTCAGTCTTGAAAAGATCCGGTCGAATGACACGATTTTAGAGCTTCTGTGAACAAGGCACGAAAAGTACAAGAACCGTCGACAGGCCACATCAGGCCTACTCTTTAGCGTCGACATCACTATGTTATGTTATCTTACAACTAATAAACTTCTCGCTTCGAATCACCGACATGTGGAACAGCCTCCCTATCTCACCATGCCACGAGCATCTCGCATCACCACGTGCTCCTGACACCTCGTCATCACCACGTGCCCCTGACACCTCGTCATCACCACGTGCTCCTGACACCTCGTCATCACCACGTGCTCCTGACACCTCGTCATCACCACGTGCTCCTGACACCTCGTTATCACCACGTGCTCCTGACACCTCGTCATCACCACGTGCTCCTGGTCTCCCAGTTCCTCCCGGGACCACCATTATGTAGCAGGTCACGTGAGCTAACAATAAATGCTGCCAATCTCTAAATTGTTGTCATTAACCGACCATTCACATCAAGCTGCCCTATTTAATTTCAACCAGTTTCTTTTGGCATAATTCTTGTTATCCTGGCCAAAGGTAAACAATAATGAAATGTGGTGGGTGCTAGCCCCCATATTGCTACATGAATCACGAATGGAGATGAGATGGAAAAAAATTCGCGAACGTAAGCAAAATCGAAACAATTTTCACGCGCTAAAATCGTCATTTGGTAGTTAGGTATGTAGATTAAAAATTTCATTCAACTCTGTTCGGTAGTTCGGAAGAAATTTTGTGATCACTGCAAATTTCGGCTCGTATCGCCATATAACTTACGAATGAAGGCGACATTTAACAAACGTTCACGAGTTAAACATCATCGTTAGGTCCTAATAAATACGTGTACCAAGTTTCATCGAGCTGCGTTCATTAGTTTGGGAGATATTCACTGATCATTGAATTTGGGGACCGCACCGAGTCCTGCCGTAAAACTCTCCAAGACATTGAATTTAACGTGTGTGATTCTACTGTTGAACCACACCTGTTCCTGAGACACCTGCTGGTGCTTCTCCTCACCAATGTCTTGTTCTTTGTCATCCCTCAAGGAGGACTTCTGATCCGCGTGTCTGTGCTCGTCAGAAGTCCTATGGGATTTCGCGCTTCTAGGGGGATTGTTCTCGATCGCCACTGCCGCCACACCGCTGAGCTCGCGGTGTCTGACTGCGGGCTTCAGTTGTGGGGTTAAGTTATTATGTAGGTAGGATTCCTTACATTAAGTTATTATGCAGGTAGGATTCCTTAAATTTCACTTCTCTGTCTCTCTTGTGCGGGCGGCCGACGTCCTGTGTAAGCGATATTTATCTCGTGACAATTTTTTCGATTTTACTTGCGTTGTCGAGTTTTTTTCAAGTCACCTACATTCGCGAGTTTTACAGCAATACGGGCTGAAATTCGCAGTGACCAAGAAATTTCTTCTAAGCTACTGAACTGATTTGAACGAAACTTTGAATATATGCTGAGCCATGCTGATCTCTCTTGTGTCTATTCCTGGCAGTTCCGGTTGGGGTGACTATCTGGTCACTCGAGTTAAGGGCAAGACTACCCCTGCAGTGTTATCAGTGGGCCTATGAGACGTCAGTCATCTGTACTTCTACCGTCAGTCATCTGTACTTCTACCG